GTTTAGGGTTTCAAACTTTAGGGTTGAGGGTTTTGCCCCCCCCGCCCCCCCCCCCTGTGGTGTGGTTGGGGGTTCGTTTAGGGTTTAGGTTTAGGCTTCCTTGGTTTAGGGTTTATATAGGGTTTTGAGGGGTTTGGGGGTTTAGGGTTTTGGGTTCCCGTGGGGGGGGGGGGGGGTACCATTGGGGGGGGGGGGGGGGTACCATTGGGGGGGGGGGGATACCATGGGGGGGGGCGCAGAACGCCCGACGCCGAACCATATATATATGTGTGTACATGTAATCAGGACAAATAGCGACAGAAAGTGAGAGATAAGGATACAGAATTTCACAGAGAAATGGATGAGAAAGACTAGGAAATAAAGAGAGAGATAGAGAGAGGGGCGGGGAGAGGGAGGGAGAGAGAGAGAGAGGGGGTGGGGAGAGGGAGCGAGGGAGGGAGAGAGAGAGAGAGAGAGAGAGAGAGAATTTGAGCAATCTAGTTGACTGCTGGAAGCGACCGTCTTTCTCACATGTACAATGAGGCGCACGTTCACATTTAGACACCCTGACGCATGTGAGTGACGTCCTCAATCACGCCAGTGAGGTGATGAAGCGCTCAGGTTGTAAAGGGTCATAACAAAGATGGCGATTGCATGTGGAGATTGCTGTCGTGTTGAAACAAGCGTCGACTTTGGGGTGGGCATTGCGGGTCCGATCCTGCCCGTGCACAGCTGCAGCCACCTCTGCACGCAGAAAGTTTCCCGGTAGGGGGTGCGAAAGCACTGACATGTCTTTCTTGCGGAAACTTGTAAAAAGCATCACCATAACTTGGTTTCAGATAGCCATTCGTCGCTATGATAAACAGAAATGAGTCCAACACAACTCAGTGATGCAACGAATAAGTCGCACATCCTTCCGTGGTGGCAATTCGACACGTCTTCGTGTGCTTCCAAATAGGTTGTGAGAAGTTAAGCGTCAAATCCAGTTGCTTCTGCACCATCCAGCACCCAGGCAGAGGATCGCATAAACCACTCACGAGGATCTCGACCCCGACAAGCGCACTCCCTGTGACATTTTGGAACTTTCCTCACAAAAATGATCCGAGGGTCCAAGAACGACACTCACAAGGATCATAAACCCGACATGCTCGATGACTACGACGACAGTCACGAGGTCCGACTCGTCGCATCTTGTTGGCATCGAAACAAGGTTTCACAAGTACAGGCACCGTGCGACAGTCATTGTGGATGCGGTAAGTCACAAGCGCCACCCTTAAAACAAGAACTCTTCATTCCCAGTCGGCACGAGCTGTAAAAGGTTTCAGCACTGGTGAACGCTTTCATGCGCATCGCAAGACTCCAGGAAGTATCCAGCCCTAGCCTTCACGATGGAGCTGTCGCTCGCCGCCTCTATGTTTAACACTGCTGTTAGGGTTTCACAGACATGTGCCCGCTTGCTCTGTGCACCTGCACAGCAGCATCAGCTCCGACGTAGTCCATCCTGCTCAAGCAGCAACAGACATAGAAGCGTGGCAGCAATCAACTGCCAACAAAGCTGCCATAGTTTCTGAATGCATGATCTGTGCATCCAAGCTCCGTGTTGTTGCTCAAAACTGCGCTCGCGGAGTCTTCTCGAATTCCCGATTCTGTCCCAAGAGGCTGAAACCCCAACTGCGCCTCATGTACTGTGCAGACTGCAACACGGGTGGCCTCAGATTCAACCAGAACATGTCGAAGCAAATGAGTGGCAAAGACATGCAAACACTGATGCCGAGCTTCTGAGTCTGCGCTTGATGAAACATGCTCTGCCTTCCAAAGCATTGACATGCACTGACCATGTTCGACCCCCCAAGGCCCCAAGGTTGGACAAACCGTGACATACCAAACGTTCCATGACGAGGCCTTCCAATCGACTGCACAGGAGCACTGGAGATGTGGGCAGAATGTACATGTGGGACCTGCTTCTAGGGGACATCTAACAGGATTGCCGGAAAACCTTGCACGACGGAAATCCTGTACGACTCAGATGCAGAAATCATGGAAGTCAATTGAAGTCATCGCTGACTTTCGAGTCAGGTCCGAGCCCAGCTCATCTCCGTCCGTCGCGGATCGCCTTTGACCACACTCGCAACGCCAATGACAAATAGACAACTTAAAAAAATCGAGCACAAGCAAGCCAATGTCTTTTAACCTTTATCTCAAGAACACCTGTTAACATCTCCAAATATCCAAAATTCAAATCAACATCCTTAAACCCGCGCTGACTTGGATTCCAGCTCATCGCGGTCGCAGCATTGGAGGCTCGCAACGGCATACCTGCCAATGTCACAGATGCAACCACATCACATCCATCTCCATATCCGGACCTCTGCGCAAGGAATCAAAGACCTCAACATAAACTGTTTAGGCCACTGGCTTGAGCCAAGAAAATACATCAGGACAGCTCTGCAAGTCCATGACTTGAATTACGATGCTCTATGAACACTCTGAGACTCTGAGCAGAAAACACATTTTCACAAGCTTAGGCAATTTCGTGCGTCAGAAGCATGATCAGCATCCCTGTCACCAAACCTGACGCGATGAATTCCAACTGTTAACTCGACTCGCAAGATGTTCATCAACAAACCACAATTCTTAAGGCCAAAGCCAGCAACCGTGCTCCAGTTCTGGCGCTGGGCCAATGCTTCTGGCCTCAGAAGCCAAAATACTTGAAGCAGTCAAAACAATGTTTCCGGAATCCTGGGACGTTACGCTTGAGCCTGAGGGCACTGCAACAGCTCAAGGCACGCCACAGAGGTCATGATGCCACCCACAATACATAGAAGGATGTCCATGCCTGAAAGTGGAACATTGGTTTGAATCACATAAACGCTCAAACACGATAACGCTCGCAGGGCGCAGAGCCAGACCCAGCCAATGCCCCTGGAGGCAGTACAGAAACCTCAGAAAGCGTATGCCAACAGAGAGAGCGTAGAGTTCGGCTTGGTAGAGCAGATGAGAGAGTGTCAACACATGAACCAACTCAGATTAATTTGAAGATTCCTACATAAACATCCTTCTCTCATTTCATCCTTCACAGGGCGGCTGACGGCAAAGAAAGCTCCCAAGGGCTCAGCGAGGCCTGAGAGTGTCGCCTGCAAAGCGCACAACAACGCCTACAAGCTACGTGGATAAACATGGATATTACGTGGACGTGCAGTAGCATGTGATTTCTGAGCAGAAGCAATGGCTGCAGCAGCAGCAGCAATGGCTGCAGCAGCAGCAGCAGCGGCAGCAGCAGCAGCAGCAGCAGCGGCAGCAGCAGCAGCGGCAGCAGCAGCAGCAGCAGCGGCGGCGGCGGCGGCGGCGGCGGCGGCGGCATATGGTGGCTTGTCAGGCTGTGCAGGAACGCCGCTCTTCCAGGCTGCGCAGGATAATTTTTCACGTGCCAGCGCTTCAGCTGGGACCACTCCCTTGGTCCTGAACAGTTACAGTATTTCGGCACGGGCCACTACCGCACCCTCAGCGATTGTGCGTCTGTTGACAAGTTGACATAACTTCTCCCAGAGCACTCTGGCGGAGGAACCCGTGCCGTCACAATGCAATCTGTTCATCCGCCTTTTCCCAACCCTCACAGCTGCATGCGGCCGGCAAATCCGCCTTTTGCTTTCTCCGCCTGCGCCACTGAAGACTTCCCCCCATAAAATGCTGGACATGGGCGGCACCCAGCAAGTTTTCATAAGTCATAAGGCCCTCAAACTGCACTCGTTGTCGGAACACTCGTCGCAACTTCTGTTCGTGGCGGGAATGCTTTCAGCCCATCAGAGTCAACTGACGAGTGCACAGTGTTGAGCGCACGTGACATCTTCACCAACAATTGTACCCAAGTTTTCTGGGCTGGCAAGCCGCCAGGCCCACAATATGCTTTTTGTGCGCAATACCATCGCATTGACTCAAAGCAGAACTACAGCAATCTTGAGGTGTTAGTACGCCGATGTTTCCAAGAATTAATGGGGTTTCAAAATTGCAGCCCCAAACGAAAAGCTGTGCGACGCAAGTCTTGGAATGGAATTGGAAAGGTTTCTACATCTTCTGAGCGGCCGCTCATAGCAAGAACACTCGTGAGGGCGCAACGTCGCAGAATGGCTGCCTTCTTTCGACGACATCGGGAGAGAGGCATCTCGATTCTCGCCAATCTCGGTGTCTCAAAGGCGAGAATGCTGTCTTCCCCCCGTCAAAAAAGCACTTTTCTTTCCACAACGGGAGCAGCTGGAGCGAGACGGAAAATGCAGACCATTGCGGCCCCTTTTGCCGCCCAGCTCTTCGCTACCTATGCCTTGGTCTGAGAAGTGTGGATCAACGGGACGGGAAAAACATGGCCCTGGGCCATGCAAAGCCATGCAATGCTGCAAGGCCCAAGAGTGGGGCTGAGACTTGCTCACGTTTCCCCGACGAAGGGAGCAAGGCGAGGGCCGGAAGTGTGAAGGTGAAGGGCAGAAGGTTGGCCGGGCAGGCAAGAGAAGAGCATGGCCCTGAAGAGAAGAATGAAAAGGGTAGTCATCGCACCCTGCCCGAACCTGGTCACAAGGGAGAGAACCAATATCAACAGCGATGCCAAATGATGAGGGAGTTCAAGTTCCCATATTCGCCACGGAGTTTTGAGCGAGCAACCGCAAGGCCCCGCTACACTCATACCAACGCTTGCGCCCCACAACGGTCAACATGCTCGGCAAGCCTAAGCAAGGAATGTTACACGTCTCTCAGCCCCTCAATGCCCCTCAGTACGGCATAAGCAGCGCACCCACAGCATTGCTCGCGACCGACTGTTCGTCGCCTCCAGCACCTTTTGACGATGCTGGTCATGTGTAGTGACACCTACAGGACCTACAGCAGCATTTCCTTTCAAAGTGCACTTCACAATGCTTCAGAAATCGAGAGCCGCACAGGCAGCGCAATTGCAATGCCTTCTGGTATGTTATGAACCGCGATCGCAGCCATAACCTTTGGGCAATGTCGAACAGCACATTGCAGGTGTTTGGCACATGGCATTGGCGCTGGCAAAAACTTGTCCCGCCCGAAGCGCCTTTTCTGAGCACTCCCTGGGCCCTCGGCGACAACTCCAAGGTGTGCGCTCTGTAGAGACGAGACCTTTTCCAAGACGCAACATCAATACATGTAACAACTTAAGAGCAGATTGTCGAATAGGTGATGCTTGAGATGCTCGCTCCAACAGCCAGCCCCTCTGGAAAGTTATGGGCTGTCAATGCCAACCTGGTCCGGGCGCTCTTTTCCTGTGAGAAACCTTTACCTCGAAGTAGAAGCAAACTCCTGAGATCACCCGAGGCCACAACATCATGAGGAAGGCAAGTCTCCACTGCCTGGCAAAGGCTATGCCATCAATGATGGTGATAGCATGTTGGCTGTTGCCTTGCTTTGGGCTCACTGGCAGCCTCACTGACCTGAAAATCGGAAGACGACATCGGCAGCGCATGCTCCAGCCGAACGTATGGCATGATTGGCATGAGCAAAAAGTCGGGTGACTTGCAGACCTGCCCGAATCCACCATTCAGGGTGTGGACAAGCTCAGGTCACTGCGTGACCCTTTTCTGGGTCTCGCCACTCCTGTCATTCGAGGGCGGTGCTCAAGGGACTCACATGGATTCAGCTCACGATTCCACGGCCCATGAAGTCTCTACCCTCCCAAGCAAAGAAGGGCCTCATCCTTCTTTCCGCATCCCATGTCAGGCTCTGGCACGAACTGCCTGCGCAACCGCGTGCTCTTACAATGATCGAAGGTAACATTGGAGAACGCACAAGCTAGTGTTCCAGGAGGCCTGAGCAGGAGAAAGCTGAGAAATCCAAATATCCCAGAAGCGCATGCCTGTCCAGTGTTCAACCAAGACCACACCAATTCGTAAAAGTTACTTAGTGCTGCCAAGTTCATTGCCCGTCGATAACTGAAGACCCGCGGCCTGGAGGCGGTTCTCGGCTTGGATGAAAGGCGGGATAAAGAGCTCCACCTGAGTTTGCTTGACTCCTCCGAGCTCACTTGACAATGAAAATTCTGACATTTGCTGCATGTGTACAACACAAAGTCATCGAGACCGCAACTAAGGAGACCGTAAGCATCACCTGCTGGTGTGGCACATCGATGTGACTCACACTACCTGCGTTTGAGTCTGCCCTTAGCCGTACACTAGCGGCCTCGAGGGGCAAGGGGCTGGCAAGGGCATGGGCATGGGCAAGTGTGGCTGAGCTCCAGCTTCAAACAGGCCAGCAAGGCGCCGGCAGCGAGAGCCAAAGCAAAGGCCTGGAAAAGGGATTGAGCTGGTGAGGGCTATTTGCAGAGACAGGTAAAGCTCATGTCCCACCATTTGGCTGGCTGTCGGCGAGCTTCGCAGGAGCAATACCTTGGTCTCTGCAGCAGCTCTGAAGCGATAGATATCTCATGATACCTCTACCAAGGCACAATTCCAGCACCCAGGGAGGTAGACAAACCAGCTACCTCAGAACTGCAACTCACCCTCTTTCTGAGATCCACCATGGAAATGCATCCAAGGTCTTCTGTGCTTCACGCCAATGATCTTAGTATAGCCGTCGCTTTGTGCGCGTCTAGAGAATCGACCTCGGCAAAAGCTCTCGCGTTTCTCTGAACATCTCTGCACGCGCAGAGAGGGCTCTTTGCTTCAAATATCTTCAAATTGCATTCCTTCTCTTAGAGTTCGGCACTTCGCGGCGAGGGCATCTCTGGAAGGGTGATGCCTTAGTCGGTCGGTGCACAAGACATGCTACAGGAGACTTCTCAGTAACGTCCGAAGGTCTGGGCTCGCTGATCGCTTGGCCAAAAGTGGATAGGCCAGCTCAGGGAAATCTTGTTGGGCTTCTCCTGTCATTCCAGCTGACTTATTTACATCGCGCTGCACTCTGCTACCCAACCTTCCTACGTTTCAATGACTCTCAACGGCAAGAACCACTGCCGTGAGTCCTTCAGAATACAGCGGAGGCCTGCTCAGCTCAGGCACCTCTCATGCCCGAAGAATCAGGTTGAATGCCTCTCTTACAGGCTCTCAATTGGTGCATCTTGCACTGTATCTGCTGTGTCGGCAGGTCACAAAGACTAAAATGAAGTTCACCTGCTTGACCTAAAGCTTCACTGCCTGCTCACACACATAATTCACCTAGACACACTACACGGCGTCAACTTGCTCCCTAGCAAGCAAACTGCGTCAGGATCGCGGCAGCGACTTCGTTCAGCCGCAGTGCACAAATATACGCCTCCAAGAACAAGAGATGGAACCAGGATGTGCAGTTCACCGGTAGAATGAATCCGCTGCATTTTGGTTGCTTTATTCAGACACTTCAGGGGGCTTCTCAAAGCACAGCATTTCCCAAAACCAAAAAACTAAACAATACATTCAGGAACACTTGGATATCAAGGCTGATCATGAGCCACTTCAAAGAGTTCCAGAAAGTTGTTTTGTGGGGTATGCTTTCTTGTTGTTGGCTCGTCGTCGTCGTCGTCGCTGCTGCTGTTCTTGTGTTTGTTGTTTTAGTTTTGGTTTTGGTGCTGTTTTTTGTTTTTGTGTAGTCTTTGATTTGTTTTTGTTTTGTCGGGTTTGGATTTAGATGTTGTTGAAATGTGCCTCTTGTGCGCCCACACTCATGTCTTCTCGCAGCATGTAGGCCATTGTCTTGTAGTCCAGAGTAGGGGAGCCGGCCTGTCATGACACCAGCGAGGAGAGCTTGGATGGAAATCTCACCGCTGAGGCATGCCCCCACGTCACCGGTTGAACATTCAAGGTCATCTCATCAAACTCCAACTTAAAAAAGTTTCAAGATTTAACACGAGTTGTCTATACCAGCGGCTACTTGTTGTACGAGTGGCTAGTTCTTGATGTATGTAGGAGCTAACTCTGTTATTCTTTTTGTTGATATCAAAGGGCCTACTCATGTAATGAATAGCACTTGTAAATAAACACTCTGAGATGATGTGAATCATTGAGCATGAATCATGTACAAACTAGTTTCACAACTAAATGGCAAGCTTTGTAAGCGAGCTAGTAGATATAATTATTATATTCGATTCTGCCCAACTCAATCGGTTATACAAATTTGTTAGCAATATACTTGGTGCTGAAAAATTTGTAGAAATTACACTCATGGTGTTTAAAGCTTGAGGTGAGCGCCGGAATCTTAGAACACCCCCCCCCCCCCTCGTCGTGGCATTTTTTGATGTTCCAAGTTGCAGTTGTCACCGTATGCGTTTCAACCTGTATGGCAGTTGCTTATTATCTTCACGGGCTAGTTATTCTTCTACATTCTTCTTGCGTCTATGGGCCAATTCTAGAAATCGATCGTTTGATCACAAATGGCCTCTAACCGACCTTTTCTTTAATACTGTGAAGAGCATTTTTAAAAAATGAGACGCTTAGTTCCCAAGTGACAACTCAAGTAGCTTAGTTAATTTTGGCTTGCGGACGTGGAGGTCACTTGTATCATTCTACCAAAGGCCGTTTAACTAAAAAACTTGCAACTCAACAGGTAAAGTAAGCAACAATGCCAGAATGGCTGTTTAAACACTTATAATGGGCTGCAGCGAGAACTCAGGCTTAACTTATTCTGCATACACGGTAATCCCCAAAAACGCAGCGGACTTACTTTACTGCTGAACCTGCTCCTAACGGCATGAGCCTTCTCAAGTCACGGTGCAACCATTTCGTTCAGACCGCACCACCTCACCCTGAGCTTCGGGCGATGCTATGAAGCATCATCAGATCAAAGGCGAGCACACCTTTGCACACCAGACTTCCGCGGGAGATGGCCCAACCACCATATGTTCTGTACGCCGCGGCCCTAGGATTTAGGGAGGATCATCAACTGTCATAAAGTGTCTCAAGTCCAGGGCCACGGTTCTGACCATGTTGAACAATGCACCGCACTGAGGAATGCAGCACTACAAAAAACCAAAAACCCGAAGGCCACCCTGGAGGGAAACCCAAGAAGTCCATGAAGCATGTCAACCATTGTTAAGGGTACCCCAGCCGAAAGGGCGCCCGGGAGTTGGGGGCAGGGTTGTGGGTGGGCATTTAAAGGGAGCCAAAGGAAGCATATGGAAGCATACTTTAAATGCTCACTGTTGGTGAGAGGTGCGGGCATGTCCAGTGAGCGACGCTGCCCGATCCTGATTCCTGATCACACAGCTAGAGCCTCGCTACAGCAAAACAGCCATCACGCATCAACTTCCACAGCAAGTCTTCATGAAGAACTCAGCAGTAATAGGTTTGGGATCGGTGGCATTTCAGCAAAAACTTGCTTCAATCTTGGGCACCCACCACACTCCACAAGCTGCCAGACGCGGAACGGAGCTTCAATGGCTGGCGCTACGGCCGCTACGGCTCTGTTACCCGACGTGGCAACGTGAGAAACTCTGAGAGCTTGCTCGCCAGTCTGGAGCTATCATGTGAAACTAAGCTGCTACTGTATTCACCGAGGGCCCTGGCCGGCCGGCTTTGCGCATCTTCGCCCTAACCCTGACATCGCCCCGCCCAAACCACCAGTGCTTGTTTGGCGTCAATCACATTGTCTGAGGCATGTAAGAAAAGACTTTTGCGTACTCGCCTGGTTCCTTTTATCGAATGCAACAGCTGCTGCTGTCGTGACTGGCGTTTGGCTATATGGCTATATGGCTGCACAGCAAATGTTCACGGGAAAAATTCAGTACTCCATTTCTGTTCTCTCGACCCAAAGACCAAAATGGGTCAAGAGGGGTCAACGATTTAATTAGCTTCGCCTTTAACTTCGGGCTTCGGCAAGGCTGCTCTGAGCTTGTGGTTTTGGACTTCAGGAGTTAAGCCCCCGGGATCTTGGGACACAGCAAAGGTAGGGTCAGTCGATTCCTCCTGATTTTTCCAGCCTTTGCTCTGTCGCACATCCTGCGGCACCACGTGCCTTTGTGGCCAATGGGCAAAGCGGATGCGCAAAGAACAAAAATATAGAAAGGAATACAGTGCAGTCTGCTAACAGGCTATAAATGCAGCTACCTGCGAGTGTCTACAGAAGAGAGTTCACGTGGTGGAGCAAGCCCATGAAATGCCTATGCAAGTACTGCAAGTGCGAGCCCTATGTGGTCTTGAGCAGCAGGTCTGCAGGAAGTTGCTTAGTGTCCTGGCCTGCACATGGCTTCGTCGCACGGCGAGATGCACTCTCTCTGCACAACAGCTACATCACGATGCAGCACACCATGTCTTGCGATTTTTCATTCGTAGCTGTGTTGTTGCGGCTCTGGTGGCTTGAAGCCTGTCTGTCTAACCTTGGACAGGTTTCAAGATTTGCAAACCAGGCGCCGGACTGCCGGACATGTAGACGGATAATTCAAAGCAGAGTTGTCACTGAGAGCCCCGCTTTGACAGATCCGCGCTTTCCAGGCTTGTGGATGACGGCCGGCTTCATTTCACGAAAGCTTCGTGGCTCCAGCTTGAGGCTCGGCCCCCCGCTTGATGACCCATGCCCATACAAGCTTGACTGTCTACTCGGCCTTGTTTCGTCAAGCTTGCTCTTCGGCGCCAGATTCACCATTTTGAGTCTTTGGCGATCAAACATCAAACTGCCATGTCCCTCGCGCAATAAGTACACAAACTGCTGACAAGGGCTCAAGGATTTCACTTCGCAATCTGCAATGTCACCTATCTCAAGATCCGCGAACTCCTTCAGATCGTCCTTGTCCACTACAGCTCCAGTGACTGGGACATGGTTGATCTTGAAATAGGCAACTTCAGGTTTTCGAGAAACAAGCATTGCGTGCAGCTTCATGCCAGTACGAAAGGATGATGCTCCTTCCACAAGGAGATGTGAGCTGTTCAAGCGCGCGTAGTCGACGTTTTGCATGCTGCGGCGCTGAATCATGGTGCCTGCTGGATCACCGAGCTCTCTATTTAGGGCTCGCTGTAATGGTAGTAAGTGTACAACATTTTCAACTGCATGTCGAAGTAGACGTGAACGCAACGGTCTGTCGTGCCACTGCAGAGGAACGTTGCGTTCCAGTCGATCCCAGCGATGGAGCTGATAGGCACCCAAGCGGAAAGTACGCATCACCTCTGATAGACCGGCCTGGTAAGCATCCAGCCCTTGCCTCTCCAGCCAAGCAGAAAAAGCAATCTGGATATCGTACACGCCGTGTAGAGAAATGTTATATTGATTCAGCAGAACAGAGGCAACTTCACGGCAATCATGGACCACCTTCACGATCCCTGCATTTGCAAGCAAGACTTTTAGCGAATTCAAAATCTCTGGCCCGCTGTCGCTCTCCACATCCACAAGAAAGACCTCTGTCTCGGTCGCAAGCTGCAGCAATGCGAGCCTCCCAAAGCGTCCGAGCCTGGCTCCTTCACCATCAAGTGCAACAGCATGCTGTCGCGACTGAAGGATGGCATCTGTTGCCGTCTCACACTGATGTACGGTACTGATCAGACGGACGGGAAGCCGTCGCAGACCCAAATCCTAAGAAGGTTGGGCCAAGTCCAACATACAAGGAACCGCAAGAAGCGCACAGCGTGCCAACGACAGAACCATTGCACGTGAAGGAGAAATGGTGGGGAACCATCCCTTGTGCTTGCAAAAATGACGGTTATGGGCCTTGAGAATACTAGAAAAATATGAGAACCCTTGTACCCAAAGAAGTCTTGCGAGAAGCTCGTTGCGCGATTTGGCTTCTGAACTTCAGATTCGCTCTTCCAGGCTTGTTGCAGAACGACTTATTGACATCTGCGCGGCCTGCATCTCAAGGACCCTGAAGGAAGTATTCTGCCTCGCCCTTTCCAGCTTTATCTGTATGTCAAAGCTGTTTGGACCCCAAACCAGGATCCTGGAGAACTGTCAAGCCCAACGACCACAACTTCTTAGCGAGGCAAAATGACCCTTTGGAACATGTTTCAACCCTATTCTAAAAATTGCCGCAGCTCCGGATGAAAAGTTTTATCAAAGGAGCATGCTTCGACTGGCCGAATTCGGTTTTACGATTTTACTGCTCGATGAAGCCGAGCCTTACACCCCAACTGGATGTGCTTTTGCATTCCCATGCGAAATTGAATCGAGTCTGAGGCATCAACCTGTGCGTCCACCTTCTCTGGAGTCTCAGCCCTCGTGCGACTAAGCCATTCCTGCACTTCCTGGTTGTAGCTTGCTGGCCACTGCGAGCGCGTCGTCCTCGATCGCCTCAGCATTCCACACTGAATACATGCTCAATACATGCTGGAGGGAATGGATTTCAGAACCTAAGGCAATGACAAGCGATGCTGCAGCTTGCAGCAGGAGACGCTGCGTCGCAAGGCATGCTCATATGAAGCCAGCATTAGCAAATCAAAATAGAATCATAAGATCATGCGAACCCAGCGGCGGGTGCTGTGGTGCTGTGGCTTGTTTTCTGCAAACCTTTGGCAGAGTAAGCGCTCACAAGTGAGCCGTGAAGTTTGGTTAAGACCAGTTCAAGCATTGCAACATTGAAGGCTTTCAGCTTCAGTGGGCTGCGGGCTTAGCCTCTATAATGCAAATCCGACCTCCTCGTTTTGACGAAGATCAGCCGCATCACAGTCTCACAAGTACTGCATGATGGAATTCGGGCAACAGGAACCCTTGCTTGGAGGAATTGGTGCAATGCCAGCAGTATGACAGTTTTTGTTCACCGCCAACACAAACTCTCAAGCGATGCGCGACTGATGCGCGCGAAGCTCGCGAAGCTTCGGGAAGTCTCAAATCCGCCCCACAGACCAAATTGAAATCTTGATCCATCCAGCGGCTCGTTCTGCGTGAGCAACAGCTGAGGCAGCTGCGGCCCGACCACCACACTTAGCTGTGACACGCTTACAAGCGTCTTACAGCACCGCCAGCTTGAAGTCCTGCGAGCAAACAGGTGCTGGTGACCTCGCACCATGTGCGTAAAATGCCCTGAATAGGCTGCGTAACTCTATAGTATATGTTTTGAGATGAACGTTACAGAATTCAGGTCCTCGAGTCGGATCGAAGCAGATAGCGAGTGGGCCTCAGCCTGGGGCACAATGCACTGCGAGAGCCTGAAATTGCGCGGGGTCTTGGTCCTCGATGGTGCCTCGAGCCATTCCGACACCGGTAGGGCTTTCTGGTCCGTGTCACCGGAAACCTGACAGACGTGTAACACCAGCAGGACGGAAAGCTCAAGACCGACTGCTGTGGGCTTCAAGCGGCCCGAGCAGCCTGCGGTGCTACAAGCTCTTGACCTGGGAATGGCAGATTTGACTGGACTAGATGGCGATGCCAATGTACGTCAAGGGGTGTAACAGATGTAGATTCCATGCCAGCTGCCGTAGATAATCTCGCACAATTCGCACAACAACTGGAAGTCTGGAGAGATGTTTTGTAAGAGCCCCGCATGCCAACACCTTGGCACGCAGCAGCATGTACTTCAGTCTTTTCTCGAACCGCCAGAACCTACAACGATGTTCAAATTCGCTGCGTACCTGAGCCAGGCGCCGACTCTTGATAGAATTTGGCCGTTTTACCATCGATAACCTTTTGGATCACCTGCGCATGGCAAGAAACCCACGTGTTCGGGCATGTGGTGCTGGGGGGACTAGGCCTTCTCGTCAATAACACCAGCTTTCCTTCACAGGTTGGACTTTCGGCATGTGACCTCGCAAACTCGTCTCGAGGAATTAAGCTGTCCTTGGGCCCAGCTGTTCGAAGTAGGCAGCTTTGAACACCTCGCGCTCTTTGCGCAATGTCTCTGCCTGGGAGGAAGGACAGGCGCTTCGCCTTGACATCCTTGACACTTTCGCGCTCACCCATTTCCTTCGAGCTGTGACTACATATGACACAGGCGTGACACAAGCGTCTAAACGTCATCTAAACGAAACATTAACGTAACATTAACTGCGCAGCTTCAATCAAGCCGACGGGCTGGCACACTGCTGATGTTGAGGAATCGTGGCTGTGCAGCCACGACATGCCGTGCCTGAGAACGGTGCACTCGGAGAAGTCGATGATAAAGCAGGCAGTGTATGGCTCGCACCAGTCGTGAAGCTATCGTATGCAAGGAAGCTGCATCACACCTCTCAGGCTTTATCAGGCTGTAAACGGTTTTTAGTACATCACTCTCTTGAAAGCGGTACTCACAAGATCTCACAAGCTACGCTGCATTTGCCAGTCCCGGTGTCCCGGTCCCCGTCCCGATGCGCACTTGTCGCTACTCAAAGATACCAAGCTCGCCATTCGACCGGTGCCCGGCAGACTGTCTGCCTTGGCCAAAGAATGAAAAAATTTAGGCCTTGAGGTTGGCTTTAACTTTCAGAGTGAGGGTTTGGGGGAATTAAAGGCTTCAGGTGTCAAACTAGGACTATGAAGTGTCGGCTTCGACATGCTTCGACCCCCCCCGGCCCCCCGGCTAACTCGGTAGAGGTCTTAAAGAGGGGTTTCCGGATAGGGTTCTGGGGCTCGGGCCCACGGGGTGAGAAAAAAAAAACTGAACATCACTCGCAGAGCCCTTCAGCTGCAATGCCCTCACAATTCTTTGCATCCTGCCGACAGGCAGACTGTGCAACAATGGATCAGCGACACCATCAGGGCAGAAGAAGATAAAAAGCAAAAAGCAAGCTCACTGCGCGTGGAGGCGCAAACTCAAGAGCAGCGATAACAACGTTTGGAAGTGGCTGGCCCGAGACAAAACCACCCCTCACAGCCACCATCAGCAACAACCAAATCATCAGCAGAGGCGACCTCACCAAAGACCTTGAGGAAATTGGCGCGTAATCTGGCCCCCGGAGACCATCGACCATGATAAGTTAAAATGGATAAAACAAGACAACATGATCCTTCTGCCTTACTGCATCTTACTGCCCATCACTGACACATGCTTGCAACTAGCGGCTCAACAACAAGCGGGAAAGGCCCACCCCAAGCCCGGCGTTGCGCATTGAAAATACTGTAGCGCTCCTTGGCCCGCCTCCTGGCACACCCGAGGTCACACGCTTAGCCCCCTACCCCAAGGGGAGCCGCCCCGAAGGGCGCGCACATCCCAGGATCCTGCTTGTGTTGCCCTGCCCATGGTCTTCACGGCAGGCTTTCTAAGTTTCGGCTCATTGGCCAAGTTGGGGTGGGGTTCGGATTTGTGGTGAGTGATGACAATGATACAGCCAGATGATGGACAACACTAAAAAGGCGTAAGCATACAAAGAATGTCATATCTTCCCCCCTTGTTTCTCCCAACAAACTGTTTTACTCTTCTTCTTCTTCTTCTTCTACCGGGCATGGAGGACGGGGCAGAAGTCCCTGAACCCCCGTGCGCTGGGTGCGCCCTTGGTGTCACGGGCCCACGTGAGACGGACTCTTTGGTCAAAAGCAAGGGACTTCCCATCATCACATGCCAAGGCTCGCGGGGGTGTTCCCCCCCAGTGTGTTACTGTAACTGCACGGACACACCCACTCGCGAGGACGTCCCCTAGTTTGAAAAAGAGGGCTGGCAAAAACGCGCGCTGCTATCTCAGGTCGTTCATCGAGTCAAATTGCCCTTGATTGGGACCTTCCCCCTTCTCTGTACATGTAGCTCTTCCCCAGGTTTTGCCGAGGACAAGCATTCACGGATGGTACACGGAGTGACATGTCTTACCCCCTCTCCTCCACAGGATGAGGGGGCGGTAACGGTTTGGGGTTCGAATGCATTCCACCTAGGTCTCGACTCCCCCGTGCAGTGGAGTAAGAACCTACTACCTCAGTGACTCAGTGAACGATCTCCCCCCCCGCTGTGCTCCCCTCAAACTGTTCTAGCCGCTGCTGGCCCCTTCATGAGTTCTTCTCCGTCTGGAGTCGACGTCTGGTAGTGGAGAGCCACGGCGTGCTGGTAATGGATGTAATTAATGTCCCCAGGTGGTTTCTAAGGTCCAGGCCCCTGACACAAGATGGCAATCCCCGGTTTCGACTTGACTGAAGCGGCGGAACTGGCTCGAGCCCGGTTCGGGGGGCAGGTTCCCTCCCAAGAGGGAGCTCTTCTTCTTTTTCTTCTTCTTCTTCTTCTTCTTCTTCTTCTTCTTCTTCTTCTTCTTCTTCTTCTTCTTCTTCTTCTTCTTCTTCTTCTTCTGCAAGGCTTGGGGGAGACCCCCCGCGCACCAGGCGCGCCCGGAGGTGAGTCAGGTTTGGGTGAAAGTGTGACGATGGGCTCCTGCAGTTGGGCCCCTCTGTGCTGAGCGATTTCCCAGGCTCATTAATTAGCCTGGGGCGGCCCCCACTGTCCCACCGGTGATACCTGATTAGGATGCTTGTCAGCGTCGGGCCTTTGTCGAAGCAAACCTACACAAAGTACTCCCCCTGCCAACACATCCCGGTTCCCCCGAGCTGACAGGCCTATGGTTGTGGGTGATGACGCCCTAGGTGCTGGGGCTTACACCGAGTATGAATCAGGATCCACCCCCCATGGAGGGTTTGGGTGATGGGGAGCTGGACTCTCACTCTCTCTCTCTCTCTCTCTCTGTTTCTTTCTTGGGGGAGAGGGCGCAACTCGCTCTCTCTCTCCCTCCCTCCCTCCCTCCCTCCCTCCCTCTCCCTCTCCCCCATCTTTAGTTTCAGGAAGCGAGGGCGGTGCTTCCTTGAGCACTCGCATTTTGGGGGAACCCAAAGGCCCCCCGCACGCAGAGCGCGCCTGATCCACCCCCAACGAAACGTGGCGGTTCCCTCCATGTTTCCCTCCGGAACTACTGTCATCTTGTGGCCGAGGAGCTGATTTCGGGTGGGCATAGCCTGCAACGACTCCTTGTGGAGGGGCTTTCAGGAACTGCACCTCGCCGTGGACAGTAACCGAAACCTACAGTAGCCCGTACTTAAAACGCACACAGAAAACACACACGAGAATTGACAGGCAATCAGATCAGAATAGGGATGAACCGAGTCTTTGAGCCTTTCTAACTTCACGTTCACAGATAGCCTCTTGCATGACCCGTTATGATCCTTCTAGCTCGCGTAAGCCTTACATCTGCCTCTAAGGATCCGGCATTCGCAAGGATAAGCTTCTCTCCAAGAACCTTGAGCCATGAAACGATCCCCCGCATTGTCAGATTTGTTGTCCAGCATGGAAGCCAATGAGCGACATGTAAACAGCAAAGGGGAACTAAGAAAACCAATCCAAAGCTGTCATGTGATGTGCTACGATGTGCTCAGCTAGCAGCACTTCCAAGCTCCAGAAGGGCTTCAGAAAGCAGTGCCCCCTCTCGAAGCGGCCTGAGTGTGCCATGTACGATGGAGCGCTCGAATGCGCTAGAACCCGAGCATTTCAAGGCATTGACGCAGGTCTCTCCGGTCCATCCGCTACTCTCATGGACAGAGCTGCCTATCCGAGATGCTCAAGAAATCCACAGCAGACGCCATGCACGAGAAACGGTCGATCGCAGAAACGTACGCATCGGTACCATGCCCGCCTCAACGCCAGCATCAGCTGTCTCAGGCTCTTGTACAAGCATCCCTGCCACGTGTCTAAGAGTCCTGCACCACACGAGCATATAGCACAGCGCAGCTATCTGCCGAGCGGACTGGAACATGAGGAACGGACTGTTGAAACAGCTCATTCCGGGTAACGAAGTCCGTCTCGGCCTTAGGCTTCAAATTTTGCTACTCTCTATACGCAGAACGAGGTTCAGGTAAGGACATGTGAGCTAAGACACCCGCCCGTAATTCCACGATCACCCCATTCGTGTCAAGGCCCAACGAAAGCAGTGCCTCAGACACCCCCTGACATCAGGCTGGCCTCTACGATTTTGCAAGGGACATGTCGAGGTACCAACTTCCATAGATTCAGCAGCACGCTTCTCCATGGATCGCACGCCACGCTTTTTCAACCATTCGATTGCCTGCTCTTGAATGCACTGCTAAAGTGTTGTGACAAAGTGTTGCCGTGTCTTCGCCGCGCAGCTTCTGTTTCAATACGATCCCTCCTCCAAGTCCCTGTTCCTGTCAGCTCTCAGGCTCTCAAGGAGCAATTTGACAAAACTCTTGGTTCCGGCCTTGTCCAAGTCTCCACTCTCCTCTTTCAAGGCTTCCCGACACCTTGAGGAAGACTTGAACATCCTATGTGATCATGTGGCAACTCCGTCCATGCACTTGAGAAGTAGCTTGAGACGCAGACTTGCCTGGCGGACAGCAACAGAAAGCAAAACAAAGGAACAGGATCATTGGGAACGCAGTAAGAATGCAGCAAGAACGCAGTAAGAAGGGATGAGCGCACCCATTGAAGCCCCGGTGCGATCTCGGAGCTCCTGAAGTTTTGTGTTTACGCGGTTGCACCCTGACTCATGAAAACCGTCACTCACTCCACCCCATTTGCTTTTTTGAGGAGCGGCAGAGTGGAGCCGTTCCTTGAATTCTCCTTGTGGGGCTGTGCGGAGTCCTGGATGGTCCTCATTACGTAATAGCGTTTTTCGCTTCCAGACCGGACCCCCTCGACAAGGGGGAGCCCAGAGAACATACTCCACGGCGCGCGTTCACAGGACCTGTTTGGCCCAGTTTGGCTGCAGCTCTCAGTCGTCCAGCATATGCCGATCCAGCCTCCTAGGACGGCGACCGGAATCATGTCCTGGCTGCTGAGTCACTAAAAACGCACCCAAATCTCCGGAAGACCGAGGCCAACGGCCCCTGAATCTCTGGCGACTGAGGACATGAGGGAAGAACAAGACGGCCAGCCAAGGTCTACCGAGTCCATATACCCGGCCGGGAAGCGGCTGACAGCAACAGAAGTCAAGCGCATGCACCAGTCGACCCCAAAGACAAAGAAGCCTTTCTGTCGGGACGCTGCCTGCCGCATCGGATGTACCCGAGCCCAATGCCCGCACGCCCACGAGGCGTTGCCGGCGCTAAACAAGCTCGGTGAACCCCAAGGACATTGATGGTCGTATTGAACGTCGTGTTTAGCCAATTCCAGAGTCAGGCATTGGCGAAGCCATCTGCAGTCTCAAGCTGCCTCACGACTGGTGAACGCCGGGATGGGCCGGAAGGAGTGTTCCACCCAAAGGACCCAACCTCTCATGTCAGCATTGGGCCCGCTTTGGGGTTTCTTTGGGCACCGTAGTTTACACCGATCTCCATGTCAGCTCGGGAGGGCCCTTTCTAACGGCTAGACCCGAGAGGGTCAGCGCATGTCAGCTCGAAGCCAGGCAGTGTCTCTGTTTACATGTTGCCCCTGAATTCGACGCGAGTACCGCAAATTGAGGTCGGGCATGACAAAACTTCCCCTCCCCTTGCCCTTTCTCGTACCCGCCCGCCCCCCCACCCCCGCGCTCTGATCCCCGACGCATCCCGACGCCACCATCCCACCTTGAAACTGTAAAGAAAACTTTCCTATATCCATTTACAGCGACAGCTAAGTCACTTCCCTTCCCACCTAACTCGCCACAATGCCGATGCTCTCCTTGACACGCGCCGCCGACACGGCAGAAAAGCTTCTTGCAAGCTTGAAGGCTGCTGGAGATGGCGGTGCCTCAGCATGAGTGGTATGTAGTGGCATTCGGCACTCAGAGCCAGGAGTGGGAGCCAAAATATGACCAAAAAGAAGGTACGCACAGAGAAACACAAAGAAATACCGAGAGAGAGGGGGAGACTAGACAGGACGCAGAAGAGGCCTGATAGTTCACTGCTCAACCTCACCCGATGACTATCTCACTTGCACAAATAAGATCGTGTCAGTCTTGCTCGTGACAGCGCATGGCTCTGGAATTCCGAATCCGCACCGCACAGAGACTCGGCAGTTCGCAGTTCGCAGGCTTTCAAACTTGTTTGATATAGGGCCCTTGCAGATCTGAAAGAAAGCGGCCAGTAGCACAACAGCACCACGTGAACATGCCAAAGCAAAAGCTCGAGCTGCCTGAAGGGCGGGCAAAAACGAGTTAAAAAGCGCCCCTTAGGGGAGAAAGAAGACGCCGGCACAACTCCGGCGAGGCCCCGCTCAGGAGAGAAAAAAAAAGACAGGCCCCTTTAAAAGGACCAATTCCTGAGCAAGGACATTATGCCGACAGTGAAGAATATCTCGCCTCAAGTAGCCTGGTAGGGTTTCGGACCGTGTAGGTTTAGGGGCGTAGGGCCCTAGGGGTTTACAGTAGCAGGGTAGAGACGTAAGGCCATCTACATGAGCTGAAGCATAAGCTTGACGCTGAAGCTAGGCAGAACGTGCATGGTGGCTGCCGGCAAACAAACCTGAACAGACTCATAGGATGCTTCGGAAGATGGATGGTGCAGGTGTATAATCAAACCTTTTGTGTATCTTGCCGCTTGCCACCACACATATTATTTGAAGCTCAACTTGAGAGCAAGTCCTGCATGAGCCAGTACATGAGCTTGATGCTGAAGCTGGGCAAAATGTGCGTTGTGGCTGCCAGTAAAAAAGGCCTACAGGGATTAATGAATATTTGTACCTTGGCGCACAACGAAATATTTCGAAGCTCAACTTGAGAACAAGTCTTGCGGCTCGCAGGGCCCTCGGGCCACACAAGATTGGTTTCGGAGCAATCCCGAATTTGCTGTGCTCGGTTACGAGCAGAAGACTTTTAAGTTGAACCACTTCGTGCACGTCGGATCAAATTTCCAGTGGGGCTTCTGGCATGCTTCCCGGTAATTTGCGCTTGTGTCTGCTTGCGCGTTTGCCTTTGCGCCGCCCTCAGAAGTAGGCGTGGACGTAGCCACCCTCAGAAGTAGGGTGGACCACTTCTGGCTGGACCACTTCTGGTTGGATGTACGCATCGCACAGGGTTACGACATATTCAATCAGCAGGGAACCGTCTTCTGACGACAGTTTCCCCAGTTGTTGAACCGCTTGCTCCAGATCTTTAGGGCTGCATCTGAAGGGCGGATCTTGCTGGGCAAGTGCTTCGAGCTGCTGCATCCATGAAACGCAGATGCGGCTTTTCACCAGCGAGCGTGGCAGTGCTTTGCATGCAGTCGCAAGAGCACAGGCGTGCTTCTGGGAGGGCAGCTGTGAGGGCAGCTTCGGCCCAAGCTGAAGCCAGAGTGCAAGCAAGTCGTCGTTGGCCTTCCAAGGCTGATAAACCCCGTTTCAGGGCGTGAGTTACTTCAACAGGCGTTACTGGCCTTCCTCGACACCCCCAAACTTTGCAGACCACGAACAGTAGTCTGATGCTCAAAAGAATTGCTGGCAGAGGGAAACAAGACCAATATAGAAGCCTGACTATTTACTGATGTATTTCACGACACTTTTGAAATTCTCCTCCCTGCTCTGCTCCATTCTACCCTACTATACTATGCTATACTACATTGTTGGACTATACTGCAGTGTACGAGACTATACGATGCGACATGATGCAATAGGATATACATCACGCGACGCGATGTGATAGGATCAGGGTTCAGGGTTTAGGGTTTAGGGTTTAGGATATACATTCTAAGACCCAACCAAAATTCCGCCCTCGAGGCCGGCTTCAACTTCACCGATCTCAATGTTGGGTTTCTTGGGAGTTTGGGTTTAGGGGTTAGGGGTTTAGGGGTCAGGGGTTTAGAGGTTTAGAGGTTTAGAGGTTTAGAGGTTTAGGGTTTAGGGTTTACGGTTTAGGGTTCTGGGTTCAGGGTTTAGGGTTTAAGGTTCAGGCTTAGGGTTTTAGGAGTTTAGGGGTTTAGGGTTGTGCTAGCATGAACACATGTGTGTGGACGAAACGAAACGTGGGTGCCTGGCAGTTTTGTGAGTTCTGTGAATGTCATTCTCAATGCTCGCTGATACTTATAAACGTACACACAGACGTGCGCTTGCACGTCTAGCGAAGCCTGAACGAAGGAAATTTCTGATCTCTTGGGGCGTCGGCCTCTACTCGGGTCTGCAGCCTCCCCTAAACCCAATCGAATGGGATACAAGTACAGCTACCTGTGTAATTATTCGCACACGTGCGCACGCACACACGCGATCACACTTCTTTATCCCCTATTTCTTGCGCATTTCGTTCCTTTATGTTAATGCTTCCTAATTACATGTGCATGTATGTATGTTCGGCATTATTTGGGAGTGCATGGAGAGATACATGTGCTGGATATGTGCAGTACAGTATATGTCAAATTAGACCTTGTGAAGCTTGCACGCATACATACATACATACATACATACATACATACCTACGTACATACATACATACATACCTGCCTGCCTGCCTGCCTACCTACCTACTTGCCTGCCTAACTTATGTGTATATATATATATATGGTACCCACCGCCCCCCCCCCCCAGCTCAAGTCACCCAGCTGCACTGCAGGCAAACATAGGCAAACTCGGTGTGCAATATAGCATATTTCCTAGGGCGCCGGGCGTAGACTAAAATGCAACTAAAATCCGCATACACGGGACAGTAGACAAACCAAAAACTCCAAAACCAAAAAAAAACAAAACCAAAAAAACCTTTAAAAAAATCCGGAACTCTCAGGAATCCCTCCGAGGCTTCTCCGAGACTTCCGGGTTTTTTTTTGGGTTTTTTTGTTTTCTGGTTTTGGTATTTTGGGTTTGTTTTTTTGGTTTTGGTATTTTGGCTTTTTGGTTCGCCTTCACGAGGCAATAACTACGCATTTTTAAGTGTGCTTGTGCTAATTGTGCTTTTCAAAATAGTATACAAGTGGTCGTTTTAGTGCTTCAGAATCATTTGTTTCGTTATTATGTAAGAACCGCTTCGCTTTTTTTTGCATTTAGTGCATCTGGTTGTACTCAAGTGTAGTAGATTTTATTCAGCCACTTGGTGCTCTGGTAGCTGAATTCGCATGGAGTATCTAGAAGAAGCATTTGCACTAAAATTTGTTGCTAAGAATTGGTTGCTTAAAAATGACTCCTACTCGTCTAGGGATACTCCAAAACCCTACAATCCAAACTTCGCCAGAGATTCTCCTGAAAAGCTTGCGCTTCTGGATGTCCTTCTGTGTGAATTTGCTTCTGCATGGCCTTCACGAAGTACTTTTCTAGGGTTCTTGTGCATTTTTTAGCCTGCTTGCGCAAGTTGTGCTGTTCAGACATAGTATATAAGTAGTTTTTATTGAACACTTCAGAAATCTTTTTTTCATCGTCATGTAAGTAGAACTTCTATTTCGCATTTTTAAGCTTGCATATGCAAATTGTGCTTTTCAGACTTAGTATATTAGTGTATAAGTGGTCTTTATTGAATACTTCAGAAATCTTTGCTTCATTGTTATGTAAGTAGAACCGCTTCCATGTCCGATAGTGTTTGTTTCGTATTTTGGCTGGGTGTGGTCCTTTAAAAAGTATTCGCTTGAGTCAAATTGGGCTATTTGCTTAATAATTCAAATGGTTAAATTCGCATAGAATGATTATTTCGAAAATAAGGTGGTTTAATTGGATCAATTAGTTTTACTAATCTGAAGAAATTAAATCCTTGAGAGGGTGGGGGGGGGGGGGGGTGGCCTTTTGCCACGAAGGAGAAGTAAAAAGTTAGATAATTTAAACCTGAAGGGGCCTTCATATGTAAATACGGGCTTCCTATTTAAAGTACTGAATTCCCCCCAGAAGGGAGGGAGCTGCCCGCCCGCCTTTCAGGAATTAAATTGTCTAAATTATTTACATTATTTCAACTATTTAATTATTAAAATAAATGATAATAAATATAATACTTATGATATATCAGATATTATACATCAAAAATAATGTATAATACATAATAGAACATATAAAAATATATTATATAGAATATATAATATAAAATATACAATATAATATATATATATAATATATAATATATATAGAATATATAATATAAAATATAATAATATATAATATATATATATATAATATTATAATATATTATATATATATAATATATATAAAATATATAATATATATATAATATATATATTAATAATAATATATAATATAATATATATATAATATATAATATAATATATAATATATATAATATATATAATATATAATATATAATTATAATATATATATATAAATGAAAATCGAATTAAACATGAAACAAATAAAATAAATATACACTTACGATATATCAGATATATACATCAAAAATAATGATAAACATAAAATATATTCTAGAAATATATAATATATAATCTATAATATATGTAATATGTAATATAAATATATAATATATATATATAAATATATATATAATATATATAATATGTAATATATAATATAATATTACATTCATATATATATATATGAATGTATTTAAATGTAAAAAATAAATGTAGATATAGATAAAGATAAAGATATAGATATAGATATTAGGTATTATATATTGGATATAGATAGAGATACACATAGAGATAGAGGTAGAGATAGAGATAGAGATACAGATAAAGATATAGATATAGATATAGATATAGATACAGATATAGATATAGATATAGATATGTGAGTGTATGGATGTGGGTGCGCGTATATGTGTATGTATGTACATATGCATGTATGTATGTAGGTAAGCTGGTAGGTATGTATGTATGCATGTGTGTGTATGTAAAAGATGTATGAATGAAACAGGCAGACAGACAGACAGACAGACAAACAGAAGTAGCCATATTTCTATACACCCACGTATCCAATTCGTGAGTATATGTACATATGCAACAGATTAGGTTAGCACTTACTTGCATGTGTACAGAGATCTGTACACCGACCAACGCCTGTTCACACGTGTACACGCATGCTGTCCTTGATAGCTGTACCTGCATGTTCGGGTGCCCTGCCTTACCCCTAACCGTGGCCTTCGCAACAGCAGCCTGCTGGAAGAGGGGACCATGTCGTAAAACAGCTTTACTCAGCCGCCGCAGCACCAGCCACGCTTTGGCACCTGGGTGCTGGTAAAGTCATGAGCTTGCAAGAAATGCACGACTTCGTGTTTGGGGGCATGAGCTCTTCGTATGCATATGAAGCTTCATGTGACAGTGCATTTATGCCAGACTGTTTAGAAACCATTCAAGCTGTCAAGCGATCTGTAAACTGTCGAAGCGTATGGAAATAGACAACACCCAATATGTCTGAGAGTTGAGGTACAGAGCTGTTGACTCGAACTCATAAAGCCTATGGGCCCTAAGCCCTAAACCCTCGTCCCTAAACCCTAACCCCTAAACCCGAAGCCTCAAACCCGAAACCCCGAAACCGTTTCCCGACTCGAGAGGGCTTGCTTCCCGACTCGTGCCTGGTTGTTTCCCTCACGGTCACCCATGTTAGCATCAACTAGACTAGAGACATTAACCCTTGCAACTACTTGTGCGCATGTACGACTCTGTGGATATGCCGTTTATGTATCTGTCCATCTTAAGCATAAAGACAATGCTCGATTCAGAAGCCTTCTATGGATTTCATACATCGTCGGCCGTATAGTTCTAGACAAGTCGACCGGACACCCCAGAACCTCAAATAAACCTTGAAACCTGAACCCTCACCCCAAACCCTAAACCCTCAACCCTGAGGTTGCCATTCAGATCGTCCAAGCCACAGATCTTACCGAGGATCGTTTTCGACATTTGTCCGCTGTTCCTGGCACCAGCTGCTCGCACGCGATTAGGGTTGCGGGTGTTGCCGCTCCTTTTTTTCTGTTTGTCGTCCCGTTCCTTCCCGATAGGAAAACCCAAACCCAATGCCCCACAACCCGATATGAGTTTTGGTTGGGTTTAGGGTGGGATTCGGGTAGGGACATGTCGCGGACAACACCCTTGCCCTTGACTGCGTGAGGCTCTGTCCACGGAGTGCGTGCCTTGCATCAAGTGATTCGGTTGTCACTGTGATCTTCTCCGATGAGAAAGACCAACCCAGCTCAAGAGATTCTGACTGCGCCTGCATCAGTCACTGCTCCAAGGGTTTCGGATACAGGATTTTCGGGTCTTCGGTGTGGGTTCAGGGTTTTTGGGGTCTACACGAGCAAAACAGAACCCGCAGACAGCTCTGCGCTTGTTTTGTGACCCCGAAAGATAGCCCTTCAACCCGATTCACAAACTCAAGTTTATTCCGTGCAAAATGGATGGGTACGAACTTGTGAAGGTACTGCCGGTGTTGGGTATTCCAGCTCTATCATCTGCAGATACCTGTCGTCATGATCAGAGTGTGGACGCGAAGAGTTAGCCCTTCTGGTTGTGGCCCACCTGGGACACAGTCCCAGGTGGGCATGAATCGGCATGAGTATCTTAAAATACACACCAACTGACTATCCTAAAGTGCAAAACTTCTATACTATAACATGGTACAATAATACAACATAGCATAATATGACAAAACATAACACGCGATGATAGAATCTCACAAGCGGGTATACCTTGATATAGCTTGGTATCATGACACCTAAAACAACTTAGTGCAATAAAATGTATGGTTTTACGCTGGGTGAATATCAGGCAATACAGCTTAATAGTATTTTCAAAGGATACTCCTTTGAAAATATTTTGGCATATATCGCACAAAACCAATACGATACAACACAAGACAATACAAGACAATACAAGACAATACAAGACAATACAAGACAATACAAGACAATGCAAGACAATACAATACAACACAATACAACACAATACAATAGACTTAACAGACTGTAACAACATGCAGTACAACAGAATACGAGATATTTTAAAGTAGCATAACATAACAGACTAACAGAGAACAGAATATAATATGATGTGCTGTGATATCCGCCGACCCCAGCCGGAGAGCGAGGGCGGCGTTAGTGAAGACCCATAGTCTTGCCTTGAGTTGCAGTGTTTTGGCATTCTTTTAGGGGCTCCAGTGCATGCATAAACCCTCGCCGCTTTCACCGCCTCCACACCTTAAGGGCTCCAGTGGCCCCTCGACCCCCCTGGCACCCATGGCTCATTGCCCGCTCCCCGCCTGCCCCTTCCATGGCTCCCACCACCCACACCCCCCCCCCCCCTCCCATGCACCCTTCCCATGGCCCCATGGCCCCATGCCCCTACGCCCCCCCCTCCCATGCACCCTTCCCATGGCCCCATGGCCCCATGCCCCGAGACCCTATCAAATGATTTAAAGGGCCCCAGTGCATGCCCGCCCGCTCCGCTCTCCCCGCTCTCCCCGCTTGGCCCCCATGGACATGGCTTCTCAAAAGGCCCCAGTGCATGCCCGCCCCCTCCGCCCGCTCCGCTCCGCCCTTCCCGGAGCTCCGCTCCGCCTTCCCGGTCCGCCCACTCCCCCCTCACAGGGCTCCTGCTCCACCCCCACCCCCAACCCTCACCCCACCACCCACACCGCCCCCCCCCTCCCATGCACCCTTCCCATGGCCCCACGGCCCCATGCCCCTAGACCCTATCAGATGATTTAAAGGGCCCCAGTGCATGCCCGCCCGCCGCTCGCTTCGCCCGCTCCGCCTGCCCCATCCCATGGCCCCATGCCCTCAACCCCCTGGCACCCATGGCTCATGGCATAGGGTTTAGGGTCTTAGGGTTGAAGTTTAGGGCGTCGGGTTTACGGGAGCGTTTAGCCACACAAGCGTTGAAAGAACTCATCCCTAAAACCCTAAACCCTAGCAGTTGTGCAGCTATGCTTCCATGAAGAATAGAAAAGGGGTCGGCGGCACTGGCGGTAGCCATTAAATCGGGCAGCGCGAGGTCCCCAAGGACCGAGCATTGGCGGACCTTTTAGCCCGGGTCGTCCCGGGAATAGCCTTGCTGGCCTTCGGCCTTCTGCGAAGCAGAATTGGGCCGGACGCCAGTGCCGCCGACCCCCGCGTGCCGCCGGTGAACGGTTTTTTTTTCGTGGTTTTTTGCGTCGCCACGGAGGCCCCCAGAGGGCGCGCATCATGAGCATCAGCGGGTCCAGCCCGGGACCCCCAGGCGCGCATCAGGAGCATCAGGCGGCTCCCGGGGCGGGACCCCGGGGGCGCATCAGGAGCATGACGCCCCCCAAAGGGCGGGCATAAGCGACGTGTCTAAGGTCGGGGCTAGGAAAAAGGGAGCTTCGGGGCCTTGTAAAGTGCTTAGAAACTTTAAGGGAGTCTAGGAGCCTCAAGCGCTTAGAGATTTGAAGGGAGTTTAGGGGCCTGAAAATGCTTAGAAACATTAAGGGAGTTCAGGAGCCTCAAACGCTTAGAGATTTTAAGGGAGTTTAGGGGCCTCAACATGCTTAGAATAGAAGCTTCAAGGGAGTTTAGAAGCCTCCAACGCTTAGAGAAACCCCAACCCTGTGACGGATCTGCTCGCCCCGCGCTTCTGCCTGCGCTGCCCGCCCATGGGCGCAGCCCCTTAAAATAATATATACAATAATGCGAAAAATCAACATACTTCAGTAATGTATACATATATATACATATATATATATATATATATAATCATGACATTCAGTAAATGTGCTAAAACATACCAGCAGAATATAACATAATATGATACAACAAACTGTTGCAGTGAAGTATGATAGAAGAGGATAGTATAACAAAACAGAAAACAAAGTAGTATAATGTGTACTGTAGAGAAATAGAATATTATATACATATGCATATTTGTTTATTTATTCAGTTATTTATTGGTTTGCTTTTCATGTGACGTAAATTGCTTTATATACTTGGTCTTGTAAAGCCTACAATCTTATAAGAGTACAGATAATACTTAATACATGTAACAAATCATCGATGACAGGTAATCCGTAACAGATACTAGATGGTAGATAATAAGAAATATCTACTAGATAACATAAGGCAAATGACGGAACAAGGGATAAACATGATTATTGTATGGACACAATACGTGCTTCAATTCAGCATGCACCCTTCATGAAGCCCACGCCGCCTCTGTAAGAAAGGGTAGAGCCAACTCGATCAGAAAGCGCGGAAACCAACCTCCAAGAGGCTGCCGCTGTGTTTAGGGTTTAGAGTATAAGGTTCTCTCCAGAACCCTGCACCCAAAACCCTAAACCCCTGAATCCGTGAAGCCCTAGACCCTCAACCCTACTGAACCCCAAAGCCAGCAGATGTTGAAAGAGCTCGGTGCTTCGAATAAGGCAGGCCTAACGACTTCCAGGTCGCTGCATCCTGTAGGACCTCCGAAAATTAGTGTTTAGGACTTTAAGGTTTAGGAGTTTAGGGTTCGGGAGTGTCGGGTTCAGGACCTTTCGGGTGGTTTAGGAGTTTCCGTTCGAATTTAGGATTTAGGAGTTTTTGATTTGGGGCTTCGGGCACCACATGGCACCAAGCTGACATCCGGGACTCAACATGATGCCAAGGCATAGGTACGTAGTGACGGTGGTAGTTGCAGTGGTACGGGTGTACTGGTCCGGGTACTGGCACTGGTACCTCAGTCGATATCAAATATGGATAACACTGAAAAGACTACGGATATGTAAAACGATCGCGACAGCAACAGTGACAGCTAGCTAAGGTCTGCGAGAGGATACAACAAGTGCAGTTACAGGCAGTGATATGGCCCATAGCGCCGGTGACGAAGAATAACCATCAGGAACAAGCAGCACTTGACGACAGGCTACGATCCGGATGTAGCACTCGTCTAGAAAAAAGGCTGACGTCACCATCTAGACCCTAATCCCTAAACCCTTTTTGCTCCAGGGCTTGCTCACGTGCCCCAAACCCCAAACCCTAAACGTTGTCCTAGTGTCTTGGCCAGGCCTGGGCGGTGAAGTGGACGAAGAAGTACCCGCAGGCGAGCACCAAGACCAGCAAGAGGAGGTAGGCCACCCTTTTAGGGTTTTGGGTTGAGGTTGGGCCCAGGGATGGGGTACAGGGCTTAGGAGCTTCAAGATTCGGCACAGTGGCACGTGAGCCGTCTCTGTCGGTGTCTCTACGTTGAGAAGCAGCGCCACACCGCTGAAGAGCAGAAACCGGATCCAGCATAGCGTCACCTGCAGCGAGCACTCGTCAAACCCTTGAATGCCCCACACCCGGATGGCGTGGCGATGGCCTCCAAGACGTCCAGCACCTCAGCCTGGTTGTTTGCATAGGGCCGAACCCACGCTGCCAGCATCCCCTGCGTACTGCAGACCAGACGCACAGAGAAGGGGCTGCAGTAGGCTCGGGGGCAAATGGATGGGGCAACAGATCAGCACAGGGAACAGCAGCTGCGCCTTCTAAGTCGCATAGGTCTTCCTAATGCACAGCAGGAGGGTTCGCAGGGCAAGGTTTCGGTGCGGGGCATGCAGTGGACCGCCGACCATCAATGCGCGCAAGCAGTCAGAGCCGCCACTACATCTGTGCCCTGTGTCACTGCTTCCTTTTGTGTGGCAACCGCCTCTCAGCCCATTCCTCCCTGTGCATGCCCCGCTTATAGGGCCGATCCCACATGCAAGCAACTCACTGCACCCTCGCATGTTCTTGTTCCCCGCTGTCGAATCGGCTACAAGTAGCCTCGTGGCTGCTTCAAGGGCTGAGATGGGTTGAGCAGGGAACTGCACAGCTCTGCCTGAAATCCCGAGAGGACGGGGAAGAGCGCGAGCTTGGCCTTGAGATCCGGCACGACGGAAGTGTAGGCGACGAGCATCATCAGCGCCAAGTCCTCGGCTGCACATCTTTGGGTCTGTGGCCCAAACACGGAGTTCAGGTACTCTGCGCGGTGCTGCGCAGACCATACTCACAAGCGCAGCCTACGCTGACTATGCTATACTCGACAAGCCCTGCTTGTTTCACAGCAAACCGCAAACACAACCACTCGTGGGGGTTTCGACCTGAGGCCACGTCGAAGCGCTTAACGAGGAGATCCCACCACCAAAACTGTCGCTCCAGGCCCTGGAAGAAATAGCCGAAGCGCCTGCGAATCTCAAGGATTCAAGAGTCTCGCATTACATGGCCCCTGTCTCTCGCCCAGGCCTGAAGTTGTCAGGAGCCTGCCTATCTGGGAGCCGAAACAAGATGGTGGCCAGCGCGATCGGTATGCCCAGGCACCAAACAACGAGCCCGGCGATGGCGAAGCGCGCAGAAACCATGTGCTCGTCGGACCAGCAAATGACGGAAGGGTTGGGCAGCAGGCGGCTCACCAGCACATCGTCCTCCTGAACCGACACGCACCAGATCATCTGCAGGAAACTGGACAGGAGCCCAGGCCATAGAGAGACCAGGCTTACCCAGATGACAGGCACGCTCTGGTATGCGAGCTCGACGAAGCGAGGTGCCGCCGAGAAGAGGCCGAAATTTAGAGAGTCCATCAAGCTTGCTCGGTTCTCCAAAGATGTAAAGCTGATGGTACTCTTTTCCCCGGGTGTCTTTTCGGGCCTCGGGAAGCAAAACGCACGAAGCTCAGGAGGCCATGCAGCTCGGGAAGTGCTTTGGAATACAAGGAAGATCAGTTCTTGGGTCCGCACACTGCGTCTGTGGGCAAAGCGACGGTCACGACGTCACAATGCGCGTGCTCAGAGCCTAGTTTAGGGTTTAGGGATGTTTAGGGTTTAGGACGGTTTAGGGGAGCTCACCCTCTTCAGGCTCGGGGCCTTCCTCCGGTACGGGAAGTACGAGCGCGGTCTCCTTGCTGAAGGCGAATGCAGCATCCAAGACCGTGTCCAGCATCGTCGTAAAATCCGGAGACTGGGCGGCGAAGTCCGTGGTCAGGAAATGTCGGAGATCCGCCTGCGCAAGGATTGCAGCACAGGGCGTCACAGCTCAAACAGGGCTGCAGCATGTCAAATTCAGCCGTGGTGCCTGCGTCAGCTCTTGGTAAACCTCTTGTGCCTCGGCCTGCGGGTGCAGCTGGGCAGCACGAGCGGCACAGGCACTGAGCAGAAGCTCTCGCGACCCGGCTGCAGCCGTGCGCAAGAAGCCGTCCGGGTTCTCCGCTGCTTGCTGCAACTGAGCCGTGGTGAGATTCCCCAAGGTGCCCAAGCGCTCCAAGTCCGCCCAGGAGAAGGCGTCAGGAGAAGATGTGATCGGGGCTTCGGTCATGGGAGCGACGGGTTTTCCCCAAATCTCTTTGAGCATCGGATCTATGACCTTCTTCAATTGGTTCATGCTACGTCCGGACTCGTTGAAGGAGAAGCCGAAACGCTGCCCCAAAGGCACCACCACATGCGCCACCACGAAGGAGAGCAGAAGAACGCCGATCATGACTAAGACAGGTAAGGTGAGGTGGTAGACTCCAAAGGCGACGCGCGGGGCGGCGCTGTCAGGAGCAAGCTCCTGACGGAGTCCGAAACAGCTACGTCCTACACATTCAGACAACCCCCTCAGTTCTATACAGCACAGCAAACATGATGAAACAGAAGCTGAGATGTTAAGATTGCTTTATCGAGGAGAATGTTGGTTCCGGAATCCCGTGCACTTACTCGGTCTGGGGATCCTGCAGTACTAGCTCAATCCAGAGGGTGACAAAATTCGAGCTTCTACTTGAATACTTCCGCTGGCATGTACGATAGCCTTGCGGCACTGTCAGCTTCCACGTGCTGTTTCGATTTGTGTCAACATGTGTCAACTAGTTTCAGTATGGGGGCCCACTGTTGCATGGCCTGGGCCAAGCACTGTGTGGCCGAGTTGACAGATGTCAAAACCGGCGTCAGCGTGAGGGTCTCGAAGAGGCCCCGCATCACTGCACTGACCTGTGGGGCGGGTTTTCAGGGGTCAAATCTTGGGTTCGAAGGACCCTCCTTCAACCGCTACCTGCGAAGGCCATGGGAAGAGTGGATATTCTTCATCGTCTCCCCCGATCTCCGCGTTCTCAAGCGGAATCTGAGTGAGGTCGAAAGCCGTCAGGACAGAGCAGGCAGCCAGCCACTGGACGGCGATGCGGATCATCACTGTGTGGAGCTTGCTGCTTGCTCTGACTGCCGCCATTGCGGCCATGGCCGCGACCACGAAGTTGATCATGGCCTGCCATCCCGCTACCCGCTACTACCCGCTCCCTCCCTTCCCGTGGTCTGATGCTCCTGAAAAAAAAGCTTCTAGGATTGAAGGGCTTGGCAAACACCCCTGAAAAGTGGCAACGGTTCATCACCCGCGACCTTCGTGCCAACATCGATGATGACTGAGGCTACCAGTGGCAAAACAGCACCCGCAGCACACGGTTCGCATGGCTGCTGGAAAGCACCCCGGGCCCAACCAGCTGGGCATTCTCCACAAAAGAACCCCGTGGAGCCTTCGTCGCAAGCATTCTCATACTTGCCGAAGCATTCCACTGTGTCGTCTTGCGTGCATCGTTGCCCTCCGAGGCAAGCGCTGAGGCCAGTGGCTGTGACGGCCGTGCACTTCACGGCGATTGTCACTCCTGTCTGGAAGAAGCCCGGCCGAGCGACAGGAAGCTTGTGGTTCCCCGCCTGAGTGATGCCCGCCTGAGTGTGAAAACCACCCAAGCATTGCAAATGAGGAAGGAAGGCACAACTGCCACACCTGGAGAGGGATCCTTCATCCAGAACTGCATAAAATCCTGGCGTGCAGAAGCAGTCTGTTAAGTTGGTGGATGCGTTGGCACTCTGGGCGTTTGTGGGGCACTGTAAGGGGCACGATGGATCGTTGGCCAGCGTGGGCTTGTACCGTCCGGGCTGGCAAGGTGCACAGATGCCCTGAGCTTCAAGGTCATAGTATCCTGGCAAGCACAAGCAGTCCGCCTGCATGATCGAGCCAACGCGTGAGGTGGCGTCGTCCTGGCATCGCCGCTCTTCACCCTGGCCAGGACAGAAGAAGCCTTCTCTGCAGTCTCGGCAGGTCTGGCCCTCTGCTGCCAGACCTGACCGGCACTGACAGTCGAGGGGAGACATGGCGCCCTCCATCGAGGTCTTATTGGTAGAGCACCGGCTGCAAGGGATGTCGCCTACCACTGCTTTGTATTCGCCCGGAGGGCACGGTTTGCACTGCGCGATCTCTTCGTCAAAACCATAGCCCTGTCGGCATCTGCAATGCTCTGTGCTTCCAGTGCCATTGCTGAAGGTGCCAGTACCACACGGCGAGCACGGGAAGTCTCCAACGCTGGCCTTGAAAAATCCAACTGGACATGGGGCGCAAAGCCCGTCTTCCAAGAAGCTGCCAGCCGTGCAAACGCACTGGGACTCGTCGGCTGAAGTGTCGCTGTCCGTGGTCCGAGACGGTGCACACGGCTGCCGTTTCTGCAGGCCCCCTGCGCAGAAGAAGCCCACGCCGCAGGCTTCGCAAACTGCAGGATTGTCGAGCTGCGTGGTGAAGAAGCCCGGCATGCAAGTGCATGATGAAAGGCTGGTAGCCCCGTCCTCCACAAGCACGGCCGTGCAGCAAGACAAGGATTACTTTCAAGCTGGCTTGATTCATAGCAAGGGAAATCCAACCGAAGGAAAGCACACAAGGAAGAGAAGCCTCAAGCAGCTACGAACCAGCAGACGACCCACCTGCAACGTCGAAGACCCAGCGGGGCACGCCAGGCAGATGGCGCTCTCTGCATCCCAGTAGCGCCCTCGAAGGCAGAGACAGTCCGAGAGTTGGCCTCGGTCTCATAAGGGCACAGACAGCCGTTGGTCTGTTGCTCTTCGGAACAGGACAGCGTGCGCACTCTCTGCTGGGTGGCGGACTTGAGCCCTCTGCCGAAGTGCTCGCCGACGGACAGCTCTGCACTTCCGAACCTCCGAGGCAGAAGAAGTTCGCCGGACAAGGCAGGCAGGAGGAGCCCGGCCCTTCGCTGTACTCGCCGGGTGGGCAGATGACGTCCAAGGTCAGGGCGACCACAAGAAAGTCCTCTGCCGAAGCGCAAGGGGCCGTCGCAGCAGGGCACCAGCAAAGCTCCAAAGCTTCCGGTTTGAGGCCCTCCGTTGGATCCAGGAAGCCCACGTGCAAGGTGTGCCAACCGTAGGACTCGTTGAAGGAGACGCTGACCGAGCGCTGAGAGTAGGTGGAAGAGGCCTGAGGCTCTCCGCTGCAGCGGCTCTTCATCACGACGCTGTCGTTCACGGAGATGCCGACTCCTCGCCACCCTGAAATCGTACAGTCTCTGCCTAGGTAGCATTGAGCGGACTGCTGCAGCTGCGGCCCCTCCAGGACAAAGTAACCCACTGTCACACCGAAGTTGTCGGGATGACTGCAGTTGGTGTCACACCAGCACAGGCGGTGATGCCCTGGTTCCACGAAGAGCGGGATTGCATGTCCTCCGAACATCCAGATCTCCTCCTCCGCTTCATCAGAGAGCAACGTGGGGAGTCCTGCCACGACTTCCGGGTCGGAGCAGGTGCGTTTCACGGTGCCAAATCCCGAGGCATTCCAGCGGAAGGAACAGTTGCGGCCCTGCTGGCAGTTGACCAGCAAGGGCGAGCTGGTCTGACTGACCACAAACCGCCAGGTTTGCTGCAAGTAGGATGCATTGAAGCCACCGAAGGACAGCAAGCCACGAGAAGCGTCGTCCCAAACAATGCCATGACCAGTACGGCCGGTTGGGCCTAAGACTTCGGTTTGCAAGCCCTCTTGCTTCCAGGAGTTTGTCAAGAGGCTGTAGTTGTAGAGAGACGAATCGTAGCTGAGTTCGTTGGTCACATTGGTGATACCGCCCATGACTAGCATGCTCATTGAAACCGGGTCCCACGCAGCGGCATGGCCTGCGCGAGCCGTGGGCCAATATCCAGCAGCTGACAAGTCGGTCCAGGTGCCTGCTGAAGCATCGTAGCTGCACAGGTCATCCAGATATTCCTGCCCACTCCACCCGCCAAAAACGAGCATGGAGCGGGTTGTGGGCACCCAGACGGCAGTGTGCCGGCTGCGCGCTCCGGCCCCTGTCGCCCCGGGCTCGCTCCACTGGCCGTCGGCGAGGCTGTAGCGCTGGAGGTCCTCCAACACTTGGCTGCTGCTCTCTCCTCCAAAAACAAGCACCGAACCCTCCATGGGGTCCAGGATCGCGGTGTGGTAGGCGCGCGCCGATGGCTTCGCCATGGCAGGCAATTGCCTCCAAGTGCTGTCGTTGCTGCGAAATTGCCAGACGTCATCGTAGAAGGTAACTTGTGCCCTGCCTCCAAAGATCAGCATAGACCTGGAACGCGTATCCCACACAGCTGCGTGGCCCCATCTGCCGGGGGTCGGGCCCTCATTCAGCGGCAGGATCTCCGTCCAAGCTCGCCGAGGCCAGTCATAGCGCCACAAGTCTGCAAAGTAGAGGAAGGCGTTGCTGGCGTGGCCCCCGAACATCCATGCAGACTGAGTCTCACTGTCCCAGACCATAGAAGCGTCCTGGCGCCCGGCTGGGCTTCCGGCAGGCGTGTATTCGCTCCATGCATCCAACTCGCACTCAAGACCTGCACTCAGAACTGCCACAAAAGCCAAGCACATCATGTGTCCATATTATGTCCACGCCAATTCCTAGCTTTCACTTCAACGGCCTGCGGCTTCTTGAGGAGTGCAGTCGTGCAGATGCCAGCCGCGGAAGTCGCAGTCGCGAAGGCTCACTTCTGTACCTGTGCACCTAATGTTGTCAGCAAGGATGGCGCCAGCCCCCATTCGACCCCACATCGCCAGGGCTGACAGGGTCCTGCCACCGGCCATGCCGAGATCGCGGCAGGCCACTTGCGCCACACGCTCGTCAAAGCCATCATCGCAGACCAAGCCGACGGAAGCGTCGTGCCGCATTTGAAGCAGCCCTCTGCCAAAGTCATGGTCTTCGGCCACGGCAAGCAAGCTGACATCGTGAAGGCCAGCACCAAATGTCATGGGAAAGAGCTCCGCAGGCACCAAAGCCACACCAAGCTCGCCTGGCACCTGGCCGACACTATGGGTGCTGCCAATGCCCAGCTGCCCAGCACTGCCCTCGCCCCAGCACCTGGGCAGCATCCATGTCAATGTGGAAACTCATGGTTTGGGGCAGTTACAAGTTTCCTTGCCGATTGCAGGCGCCTCGTGCTGTCGTCCTCCAAAAGCACGCAGGTGTGGCCGTAACCGGCACTTACATCCCGCACCTGGAGATTGCCGAGGCCGACCGCGTGAAGATTGGAACCCATCTCTGAAGGCTCGTCTCCCAAGCTCTCTGTGTTGCCCGCACCAAGCCTCCAGGTCGCGTGGGCTGCTTTGGATTTCTTTGGAAAGCGACTCTTTCAAAAGCAGTTCCCCCAACTGAGGCCCTGGCTGGCCACTCACTCCCGAGCCCCAGCACTTGAGGGTTGCATCTTGGAGGATGGCACAGTTGTAATGACTGCCCGCAGTGATATGGACGACCGTCATGCCATCGCCCAGATCCGTAACAGGAAGATTGGTGCCCATCTCGCCGGGCTGGTCACCCGCGTCTTCAAGGTTGCCGTGCCCCAGCTGCCCCCTGTGATTCGCACCCCAGCATTTTACCGAGCCGTCGGACAGCACCTGCCACAGGCACTGTGACACGATACGATACGACGAGTCCACTGGGCTGGATGCTGGCAAGCAGCGACGCAGGTGTGACGAGCCCCAGCCGCGATCTGCACAGCAGGAAGGGGACCCAAGTCCACTGCAGGTAGAGCATCACCCATCTCGTTTGGGCTGGCGCCGATGTAGACTCGACTATCGCCAAGTCCAAGTCCCAGGCGGCGGGCCGATCCCCAGCATTTCACGGTACCTTGGCTTGACAATGCGCAGGTGTGGAAATCTCCCAAGACCAGCTGCACCGCTTCGAAGTCGGTGCCCAGGTCAACCGCGGGGAGCTCCGAGCCCATCTCGCCGGGCCTGTCGCCACGATTCTCCCTCAGTTTCCAAGTTCTCACTCAACTCTCTCGAGCACCTAACCGTGGCACTGGCAGCAGCTCCAAACCTCTGGGGCCCGCGCTCGTCTCCCAAGCCCAGCAGATATCCCTCCCCGAAGCACTTCACGATTCCACCTCGAAGCAGAGCGCAGGTGTGTAGCGGTCCGGCATCCACCTGCACCACTTCCACACCGGGGCCCAGGTCCACGGGCGGCAAGTGTTGGCCCATCTCGAAGGGCTCGTCTCCGAGTGCCCTGGTGTGTCCATAGCCAAGCTTGCCAAAGCCCTGGCCAATGCTTGCGCCGTTCTCCCCGAAGCATTTCATCACACCCGTCTCGAGAAGTGCGCAGGTGTGAAAAACACCGCAGGCCACCTGCGTCACTCGAACGCCCGGCTCCCCCAGGTCCACGGCCGGAAGGTTCTCCCCCATCTCACCCGGAGCTGTCCCCACCTCTGCATCGCTGCCGGATCCCAAGCGGCCACTATCCCCAACTCCCCAGCACTTCAAGAGGCCCTCGGCATTGAGAATTGCACAATTGTGGTAGTTACCGGAAGAAAGGCTGAGGAACTCTGCAGGGGCTGCTTCAGGCCCCTCCCAAGCGAGGATTCCGTCCAAAGCTACTTCGGAGTCCGATGTAGTGGCCTCGGAGCTCTCGAAGCGGAGGCACTCCACCCCCCTTGGGAGCGTCACCTTGGCCTGAAGCCAATCGGGCCCTTGGTTTGATTGTCGGGACCAGCGCAAGCTCCACCTGCCTCCTTTCAGGTACCATAACTGCAGCTTGCCGACGCCAGACCCAAGCATGCGGAAAGCAAACTCCAAGTAGGAGACGTTGGCGAGCTTCGGGAAGAGTGGGCTGGTGAGCCTGAACACCTGCAAAGAATAAACTGCCCCGGAGCCACCAGCATAAACATAGCTCTCGGCGTGAAAGGCAGCCTCGGGCCCTGTGGCAGGGCTGCTGCGGTGCTGCCAGTCCCCCACCCATTTGCAAGTGTCCTCGAAGCTGCAGCTGATGTTTGCCAGAGACGACTCGGTGGCCGTCGGGAAGAAGGAATCCAGCTTCACCAAGTCTAGCTCTGTGACATTAGCCACGAAGCGGAAGCCGACACTGCCAGCAGGTATGGTAACTGCGGCTACATGCCAACCTGCGCCGCGGCTGCCCGACTCCAACCACAGACGCTGCCAGCCGCCAGCGGAGGTTTGGTGTTGTAGCTCCAAGGCCACGGTGCCCGAGCCGTTCAACTGATAGTCGAACATCAAGACCTTATCCTCACTGGTGTTGAAGCGCGCGGCCGTTTCCAAGATCCATTCCGAAGCTTGGGATCCATTCTGCACAGCCTCCAGCCACTGCCCATCCGCGTCCCCCGCAAGCTGCCAGGAAGAGGCATCAGGGCTTTGCCACAGGCAGGTGTCGACACGGAACTCACAGGTGAGCTGATCGAACTCCACAGTGGGGAGCCCGGTGGCGATGCCATCCAGCGCAATGTCGCTCCTCCAGGTGTCGCCTGTGACGCCGACGAAACGCACAGCTCTAGCGTCCTGCGGCAGCCTCACGATTGCCAGGCCCCAATGCGTCCCTGGCCCTTGCTCTCCGATTCGTGACCACACTTGTGTCCAGCCACTGCTTCGCAATGTCTCCATTCGCAAGCTGCCTGTGTGAGCACCATGCATGTTGAAATAGAAATAGAGATGCCGAGCTGCCAGTGATGGGTCGAACAAGTCGCTGGTGAGAATGAACTCCTGCACAAGACTTGCGCAGAACTACCTCGTATGCCTCGTGCTATGCTTTCTGAAGTGGTCCTGCCTTGTTCTCATTGTCACTGGCTTCTGTGTAAATGTACGACTCACCTTCCGAAGCCTCGTCCGGTCCGGTACCTGAGCTAGGAGTAGTCCCTGAACGTCGCAGCCATGCGTGCGAACTGGTGGACCAAGCACAAAAGTCGGATTCGAAACCACAGGAAATGGCGCCCCAGTCGTGCAGAACGTTCGCTGCATGGAGCGAGTCGATGCGCACGACATCTGCCTCTCCGGTGACATTGGCAAGCAAGCGCAGGCTCACCGTGGAAGAAGGGATGGTGACGATGGCTGCGTGCCAACCTGCGACGCGGCTACCCGACTCCAACCACAAACGCTGCCAGCCGCCAGCGGAGGTTTGGTGTTGTAGCTCCAAGGCCACGGTGCCCGAGCCGTTCAACTGATAGTCGAACATCAAGACCTTATCCTCACTGGTGTTGAAGCGCGCGGCCGTTTCCAAGATCCATTCCGAAGCTTGGGATCCATTCTGCACAGCCTCCAGCCACTGCCCATCCGCGTCCCCCGCAAGCTGCCAGGAAGAGGCATCAGGGCTTTGCCACAGGCAGGTGTCGACACGGAACTCACAGGTGAGCTGATCGAACTCCACAGTGGGGAGCCCGGTGGCGATGCCATCCAGTGCAATGTCGCTCCTCCAGCTGTTGCCCGTCATGCCAACGAAACGCACACCTGTGGCGTCCTGCGGTAGACTCACAAATGCTGTGCCCCATTGCGTCCCTTGCTCTCCTGTTCGTGACCACACTTGTGTCCAGCCAGTGCTTCTCAACGTCTCCATGCGTAAGCTGCCCGTCTGCAAATTTGCCCCAAACATATGGAAATAGAAATGGAGATGCCGCGTTGCTGGTGAAGTGTCGAAAATGCCGCTGGTGAGGATGAACTCCTGTGGGGCATTTCTGCGAACAGGCTGCGGCGGGCAATCCTTTGCTTTGTTGAAAAGCCTGGCCTTGTTCTCATTGGAGCTCGACTCTACGTAGACGTACCAGTCACCTTCCACCGCCTTCTCTGGTCCTGTGGCGGATGAAGGAGTCGATCCGGAACGCCGCAGCCAGGCGTTGTCACCAGTCGACCACCCGCAAAAGTCAACCTCACAGTTTCCGCATCTTCAAGGCACCTCCTCATCTAATGGCTCTCAGTCTCAGGTCCTCTTGCGGCCTCGAAGTCGCAGCTGACCACCTCGGACCAGTTCGCCACGGCCGTGGCAGAGGTCGAGGCCTGGAGTGCACGGAGGCGCTCCTCGCCAAGAGGGATTTCGGGTTTAGCCTCTAGGGTAAGAGCTCCGGATTACTTCCTCCCTGCTCCTGAGAAGACTCGCCTTTTGACGCCATGCAAAGAACGCTCCTGGCCCCGTCCTGAGCACAGCGAAGCTTCGCAGCTGGCGGCTTCGGAACAAAAATCTTGAAGTTCGTGTTTCTCCTGCCTCGTCCAGGTGCCTTCCAGTCAACAAGGCCCGGAACTCAATGGACTTCCTGCGACAAGCCGAGCGTAGCGGGGGGGAAGTCTCGCTAACATCGCAGCCGGGAGGAGAGATCTGCAGCATGCGGCATGCAGCATGCGGCATGCAGCATGCGGCATGCAGCATGCGGCATGCAGCATGCGGCATGCGGCACGCAGCATGCGGCTGCGCAGGCCTGTCGCCGGGAGCAACCTGGACAATGCAGGCGTCCGGAGTTCTCGGGCTCAGGATGCAATCTCCTCCGACTTTGCACGGCCTTGGTCGTAAAAGCGTGGAAGGTGGTGGGTGGACGCAGGTAAAGTGTTGCAAGCACTAAGCGCTCCCTTCGAGCGCACTAAAGCCAAAGGGAGGTGCCTCCGATCAAGTTTGCGGCAGAAAGCTTGCCGAGGAATGCCACTGCTGAGATCATGCTGTGGTGTGTCTTGCGCCGGTGGCTGCTCTGATCGGATTGGAATGGCTAAGGGCATGCCGACAAGGCTTCGGGAGCATTCCTGCATCCTGCTGCACATGTGCCGCGTGCTTCAGACATACTGCAACTACAAGACCAGTGCGAGTGGTGCCTTGTGTCTAATGGTGCGCGCGAAGGCAGCTTGGCGGTTTAGGGTCGAGGACTTGCAAACATCGTACAAGCAGTTGCCTGGCGCGCGTGTGACCGAACCGAGACCTTGAGGGAGAAGCACTGCAGTAGCAGCTGGGGGACGGACCCACTGACAAGCTTCCAGGCAGGTGAACCTGGACAACACAAACTTACATCTTTAGGATGTGGTGCTAGGCAGACAGACCTGTAAAAATCAGTCAAAGCAGGAAAATGTCAGCGGCATACCCTAGAAAACTCCTGAACAGTCGCTTACAGTAGCTGCTCCATCGGCAATCCATATTGCAGAGATTCTCATAGCTGTGACTGCTACATGGGCGCCGCCCATGGATCGCTTCGTGGGTGGCAACAAAGGTAGTCTATTCCTTGCTCCGCACATGTCGATGTGCCATGTGGCGATAGTAAGCTCTCACGGTAACCTTACAGTAACCTCTCACAGTTAGTAACCCCTCATACACTCGTAGTAACCTTTATAGAGCCCCCGCCGACCCCGCTCTTGGGGTCAAGCGCCGGGCAAGCCCTTTGCATGGCAGGCAGTCTGGCTGCTCCACCCTCTTCGACCCCCCTCCCTTACCCAGCACCCGACCCTTGGCCCGACCCTTACCACCCACCACCCCTTCTTGATGTTTCCCCACCCCCCCTACCCCCAACCCGCACCCCCCCCCCCAACCCAGGCCCCCCCCCCCCCCGGCCGGAAAAAGCCTCAAAATTCCACTAAGCTAGTTTCTCATGTTGCCCTCCACACCTTGTTTAGGCCTTGGCCCCGGCCCGAGAGAAAGCGAGGTAGCGGGGGCCGGCGGCAGCGGCGTCAGCCCTTAACCGCAATCATAGAGCCCTGAACCTCCCCTACAGGGGCCTTCCCCAGACATCCCCGTCTGGTTCTCTGACCTCGCCACCACCAGACTGTCCTCGCGAAGCAGAGCGAGATTCTAGCCCACCTTAAGACCCGAAAGCGTGTGCCTGCAATGCAAGTAAGCTCTACACCTTCGAAGGGAAGTCCGTAACCAAAACAATCCAAAATTCGTAGGGATGCGGTGCAAGAAAACAGGAGCAGCAGCCACATGTGAAGATGCTTGGGTCCGCAGACCTTGTGCCAGGAAACTCCATACCTTCAGAGCCTGGGCTAGGCCCAGCATGGCCCAGCAGCCCCCACAACCGAATGCGACCCTGAACCAAGCCGCCATGCAACTCGCCCTGGCCTCAGCCTCAGCACGGCACAGCTTCCAGCCCTGGGGAGTCTTCGCTTTAAGAGCTTGAGGGTACTTGGGGCTTGGAGTTTACGGGGCCTGTATCATTTCGCCCTGCTGAGTGTCGTTAGTCGGGACGGGCACGATCTCGATCGCGATGTCCCTTAACAGAGCCAAGCAGTTACTTAGAAAGATTGGCTGCCTCAAAGAAGATGATACAAAGGCCACACAGCAATCATTGTTGTCGTCAATACGCGTACTGTCATCATCAGCATCATCATCATCATCATCATCATCATCGTCATCATCACAGCCATCATCATCTTAATACTCATCATGATTGTCACAGCAGGATTCCATGTCATGTTGAAGACGAGCTCACGAGGCTCCAAGTGATGCATGCACTCAACATGTCTCAAAAAGGAAAAAGCCTGTGCACGTACATACACGTATACAAATGTCTAGGCATGCGACGGCGCTACGCTGAAAGCCCCCAACTCTCTCCGCCTGCTGCCATGTTCGAGCCCGATCAAGCAGGAGACGTCACGAATCTGGTCGGCCGGCACGTCCGCGCTGGCAATGCAGCCATCTTCTTTGACCGCGCATGACCTAAGTGGTCGTGGCTTCCACTGCTGCTTTGCACAGGATGCACTGGACGGTCTGTAGCTCTATGTGGACCCCTTAAACGGGATCATAGCATTAACCGCAGTAGTTACCAAGTCTCATGATCCTTCGACCTGATGCAGGACACCTGAGGCTCGAGCCCCACGGTTACCTGCCATGCCGGTGAACTCAATGCACCTGCAGCTAGGAGCATGCGCTCGGTTTGGACGTTAAGGGAACGTGCGGGCACAGAGTTGAGGTTGCCAACCTTGCCAACAAACACGCACATCCCAAAGAAGCACCAGATGTCGTGCATCAGCACGACAAGGCTGGCCAACTTCGATAGTCCCCAAGCGGCTGCATGTGCACGGAGACAATCAGGTAATGCGATCTAGAAAACGAATCACATCCTGTTCACTTGTTCTCTACGCAGCTGCCACTGCAACCCTTTGCAGCTTCGCTGCTGCATGGAAGCTTGAACACTGACTTGTGTGCGCAGATCCCCGCTGTCATTGCCTTGCAAGAATCCGGTCATGGAAATGACCAAACACCAAGGCGACGCCATGATCCTGACCGGCCAAGGAAACTCTGTAGTCCCTTTTAGGGCTTTCAGGGGTTTTAGGGTTTTTTTAGGGTTTAGGGTTTAGGGCTTTCAGGGGTTTAGGGTTTAGGTTTAGGGTTTAGGGGTTAGGGGTTAGGGGTTAGGGTTTAGGGTTCTGTTCACAACACATCTTGTCATTTCTTCGCCCGTCGCCTGTGCTCGAAGCTCAAAGCGCAATTGCAATCTGGAGCCAGCCCACTGGTTGCGGGAAAGAAACGTCGACTTGGTAAAATCTGCAACTGCAAGTATCGGTGCTTGGCAAGCCCTCCTCCCCTTCCTCTACGCCCTGAAAATGAAGTGTTATAAGCGCAATGCTGCTCTGGACCTTGCACTGCGATGCCCTGACATCACCTCTGAAAACGAAGAGAAGGAGAGAGAAAGAGAGAGGGAGAGAGGGAGAGAGGGAGAGAGGGAGAGAGGGAGAGAGGGAGAGAGGGAGAGAGAGAGGAGCTCAGGCACACAAGGGTGAGGAAGCCTGGCACCCTTCCCCACTTCTGAGGGCGGCGCGAGCACAAAACAGCACGTAAGGATACATTAGGGAAAAGTGCAACCGCGCAACGCGTGCAGACATGCTCATTGGCATCCCGTGGCACGTGCCAGCGTGCGCTTGCGACCCTTCGAAACTTAACGAGGCAACACCAACAGCTTCCTACTTCTGAGGGCAACGCGAAGATGAGCCAACACAATTGGAGCGAAACGAGTGTAGACATGAAAGAGACAGAGAGAAAAAACTAAACTAAATAGAGAGAGAGAGATAGCGAGAGCGTCTGGGTATACTCTTGGGGCTGGGTCTCTGCGGTTGGGGAGTCAGGATTCTTCCAGGATACTCTTGGCGCTGGGCACTCCGGGTTGTGCACTGCTAGGATCTGCTAGGCACTCCAGGGCTTCTCTGGGCATTCTCTGGGGTGGGATTCGGGTGATGGGCGAGGAGTAGACCGGGCGAGGAGAAGAGCTTACTTTAAAATCTAACAACCTCACACCGAGGGCGTGCAAAAAAGAAAGGGTAAAGATAAAAAGAGAAGAGCAAGGGACAGAGAGACCGAGAGAGGAAAAAATTAGAGAAAGAAATAGAGAGAGAGAGAGGGAGGGAGGGAGGGAGGGCGGGCGGGCGAGCGAGAGTGGATTTGCTTGACAGCATTTCGGGGCCTTCAGCGAATCGTCTCAGGACGGTACCAACCCAACCCTCTATCCCTTGTGCTGCCTAATATCCCCAACCTTCATAAACCTGAAGCCTTGAAGCCTAAACCCCAGATTACCTGATAGCCTTGGGGAGGGGAAAAGCTGCACATGACATTGACTCAGCCGGAGTCGTGACTTGTACAGAGTCGGGACTTGAACTGTCTGGGCCTGACATGCACAACTGATGACAATCCGGGGCACATCAAAGCATGCAACGAAAAGCAAGCTCGGACACACCAATCTGCGAGCCGACGAGGCCGTTCTGTGAGCCGAACATGCGACCAAATATGGAAGATGCACGATTCCGAAGATGCACAGATCATCAGCAAAATCCAAGCTGAGCCCTTCACTCTCAGAGCGTCATTGCAGCGCTCCACAAGACATCGCCTCCAACCAGCTCGATAGTGTACGTAACAGGATGTAACAGCAACAGTCACCAAGGATGCGAAGGATGCGAAGCCTGGAGCTATGCCAAGTAGCGGGCTTGGTCAACTTCAACAGCTGTCCACTCAGCTGTCCTGTGAAAGGCCAAGCTCTTCTGCTCGAATCACTCGCAGTTTCTCTCTTCCGCTTGCTCATAACATGGGGCTTGTCACCACATGGTGCTCAGCCCGCGACGCATGCCACCGATTGGCCTGGTGCCGGAGGTAATGACCGGCACTGCCGATCGCAGCGGCGGAAATTGAAGAGCAGGGCTTCGGCACGAAGCTCGAGCAAGATGGCTCAACGAGTCTCCCATGTCTGAACGGCTTCGATTGCAGACAAGCAGATGACAAGAATACGCCCGTTGCAACGAGCAGAGGATGCGATGACACTCTGGCTGGCCTGAGAGCGCGCTCATGTTGCCCTATGTTGCCCTGATCTCACAGCTCAGCAGAGTCCAGAGCCCGTGGCCCAAATGCTGGCACTGGAGCCGCTTGAAGTGCATTCTCATAGGGCCAAGGTTCTGTTTTCAGGACACCCTGGCCCACACACTCCGCGTTGGCGTGCCTATTGCTTCCTTCAAGAGTCCGAGCACTGCACAATCTGCACATCATAGGGCTGATCTCGTGCGTTCTTGTCGCATTTGGAGCTGCAAACTCACACAGCAGATAGCCGCCTGGAGGAGAATCTTCGAATCCTTGAAAGACTCACATCAAGACGCATCCCAGATGCACTAAAGACTGCATCAAGGAAGGCTTCAAGTCGTCCATGCTCGTTGAGGAGAGGTCACTTCTTCTGCCTCGCGAGCTCCCTTCCTCGCTGCTCCGCCTTGTCCTCCTCAGACCTGAAGTACCCTGAGAGTTTGCATTGTCTCTGGCTCCAAACATTCGACTTCCACTGAGTTGCAAACATCCCTTTGTTTTTTCCTTTGCCTTTCTTTCCTTTGCCTTTGCCCTGACACCAGAAAGCATGCCGCTTGCGTGGGAGGCCGATAGATAGCAGGCATTTCGCCCACCTTTCCCTTGCCAGGATTCCGCCGAAAGAAATTCTTGCCAGTTTTGGAAACCGTGTGCGCGTTGAACACCTCCTTAGATGGCAGAACCCTCAAATCTGGACGGCTGCGGGCTTGGGAAGGCCAAGGAATCAAGCCAAGCCACGTTGCAAACCAGACACGCCTCGGGTCAAACTGCATGAACGCTGCGCTGCTTCAAAGGCAAGAGCAATGGAAGTCAAACAGACACCCGAAACAGCTTAAATGCTTCATGAGTTCAAGTATGGGCTGTCATGTGGGGCCGTCCCTGCCTTCATTTCTGGCTGGCCATCTGGCAGCGGCGACTTGCCTTTGCTGAACACGACATCCAGGAGAACGGAGGAGCACCTGAGTACAAAAAAACACACCATAGATCACCATAGTACACCCCACTCACAATCTCTCGCAACTTCTCACTCCTACACTTCTTAGAATACGTTCTCTGCAAGCTTGAGAAAGCCAGATCACTCCTCGCAGAGATCGCTGGTAACCTTGATCTTGTGGGCCTTGGATTTAAATCAATCACACTTAGGGATGCGAGCAGTGATTGCCGTGGCCTTGTCCTCAAAGATTGCTAGTTGCTGCAAGCCTCGGACTCATACAGGCTCTTACTCTCAAGAGGCACACAACTCCGTGAACACGACGGGGACATACGAGACGCGGCCTCGCATGTGATTCATGTGATGTTCTCAGGTCGCCACAAACGTTGCAATCGATTTGCCATTTCGGTCCAGAGTCCACATCCAAGCAAAGCGTTCCAGAACAGTTGTCTGCTATGCAGGACATGACCTGGAAGGCAGCTCGCACGTCTGCGCATTCACGTCCCAATGTCTCGTTAAGCATGCTAAATGGGACGCTGGTGACCGCTGGTGGATTCGCTCACCACATGCCTTCAGGCTTGCAGAAACCTTTGCGGATTAGAGCGGGATTAGAGCGTAAGAATATGCACAATTAAACATGTTGGCAGCTTCGAGCCCTTGAAACAGAACCTGCCCAGAGCCTTCTGAAGCTAACAGTTTGGGTGAAGTAATTGCAAGCTTGCATGAGGCTGCCGAAAAAATCATGTGTCCCATGCAAAACTAGAACAAAGAGGCAGGTGCAATAAACTCAAGCGCCAGTGCTAGATGGTTTCGAAACCTGTTCTCTTCTGGTTAAGACAAAATTGATGGCCTTGCAACACCAAAACCAAGCCAGCACACACCGTTCCAAAGCTGGACATGAAGCACCAAAGCTTAGACAGGGCACTGCTGGGCGGTACTTCTTGTAGATGGGATGATCCAAATTCCAATGCTTACCTTGCCTCGTTGCAGGAACTACAGAAACGCGTGCACGACCCCCTAACATGTAAATGCTTGCAGCTTAGCTGCTCCTCCTTGGCACCAAATGGCGGATCATCGTAGCACATGGGGCAGATAGGATAACTCTTTCCCACCTACTGCGGCACAAGGACGACATCACTGCCTGTAGGGAAACATCGGATTTATATTTACAAAGATGCCCTTATTGCACGTGCCTTGTTGGAAACGAAGACCAGCCTCCAGCTGATACACAAGCCATCAAACAATGCACCAACTACAGTCATGCATTTGACAGAGTTCACTCCTCCAGCCAGACGACAACACTGGTCTGATGGCATGTCCCCCAAACAGCTTTAAATCCTGTGGCTCTCCCAACCTCACCCGCAGGTGAGGATTGCAGCTTGAAGCCAAAAAATGCATAGGAAAATTGACCAAACTGGCCGGGGTATCATAGGTTCTTCAAAGAGGGCCACAATAGCAAGGACTACGGACGAAAGGAAAATAAACAACTTCCAAGTGTCAACCCAGGATGTGCAAAAGGCTACTTCCATCTAGTCCCTCAATTCTTCAACCCTTCAGGCGTGCGATCTGAAAATTTCTGGCTTTCGGCCAAACTCGACATGAAGGCAAGGAAGCCGAGGCCGGGTACGGAGTCATTTGTAGGCAAATAAAGACGGTTGCCGCCAGAGAGCTCGAAGTTATCCAGCGGACACTTGAGCTCCTTGTAAAGCTTCATTTGTCCGTTCTGGGGCATCTTGAAGATACGGTTGCACCTCGCAAACAGTCGCAAATCGCACCGTGCTCGGAGCCCAAAGACACGTACAAGGCATACATGTCAGTGGCGTTGAGCTGCAGGCGTTTTGCAAAACATTCGCACTGGCTTCCTGTCAACCACCGAGAGATACCTTACACTGCTGTCCACTGGCAGCGGGCCATGGGCTTAAAGCAGGCAGCGGGTTTCAATATGTTTCCGCACAAGCAGCACAAGCAGTTTGCTCGCGCAGATGTTCGCAGTGACGCAGCCAAGCTACCTTTGACAATCACCACATCTTGACAGTGGTCTTCCTGCTGCCTGGCCATGGGCCGCTTGGGTGGTTGCAAGCCATGAGCCTAAGGACCCAAGGCTTTGAGGCTCCCGGGCCAAATAAAGGAGCTGGTGGCAGACCATTAAATCGCACTATCATCATCTGATCATGATGTTTTGACTTGAACAGGTCTCAAGCGCCAAAAGACTATTAAGACTTTATACACTTTGGGAAAATCTCGCTGCAGCCTCCTGTAATCTCCTGCAAATATTTCTGCACACATCCCCAACCCCCCCCCCCCAACGGTTTAAGCTGTGCAGAGCGGGGCGCCTCCAGCGATTTGAAAATCGTCTCAAACAGTTGGTCCACCAGATCAACATTTGCAACCTGTGCGCTCCGTAGCTCATGTGGCGAGCAGAACGCGCATTTGCGATGTTTAAGCAAAGTAGCATAATAGATGAACTTGTCACGAAACAGCCGCAGGCAATGCTGAACGACTGGCATAATGTCAGCTTTTCCCTCCGCCACCAAAGTGCAGTTCTTCTCCATGTTGGCACGCACCTTGGGAATCACCAACTCGTTGTCTACCATCTGGTACCCGTGCACCAGGGCAATCCCCAACTGCGTGGGGATGAGGCGTCGGCCTTCTGCAAGCTTGACGTAGTTGCGCTCGCAGATGTTGTTGATGTGGGTTGCCATGGATGCATCCGTTCCAATCCCATGCTTCTCCATCAGTGATAGAAGGTCAGATTCCGACAAGTATGGCGGGGGTCGGGTCTTGTGACTACCCATGGAAACCTTCTTCACCTCAACGGTCTCTCCTCTGGAAAAATCAGGTATGACCACATCCTCCATCTCGCCACTGCGCTGGATGGCTGTGAAGCCAGGGTCTATGACTTTGCGGCCCGAAAGAGAGAAGCCCTCGCCGTTCATGTCCAAGTTGACCCGTGTTCTCAGAAATTTGCAGTCGGCACTGACAGTGGCCAGGAAGTGTCGCGTGATCATTTCCTTGGTGCACACTAAGTCAGAACTTCAGAAGCCAACAGCAATGACAGCTATGAGTAGCTTTCAGGTAGGTGACGTACAAGCGATAAGCATCTCCGAGCTGACTTTCAGATGCAGCACGCACTGGCGTAATTGGAGGGTGGTCACCCATGTCAACGCCTCTCACGCACACTGAGAGCATTGAAAAGCCTAAAATACTTGAAGCCCGTGAAGCTGCCTCTGGCCAAAACGGAAAAAACGAAAGGCGAAAGGCCACACGAGAGCACGTATCACAAAGCTGCTGCAAGCTCACACAAGCTGCCACAGGCCTTCACGTGCTTTCGCAAGTCCTCTTGCAAGGAGATCCTGGGAGTACGCACCCCATGTGTGATGACCAGCTTGGGCTCGAACTGCTCCCTGGCAGCTGCTTTCGGCTGGCTTTCTCTTGTGGTGTGTGAAATGTTGACACTACTCTGTTACAATTAACTGCTGACAAATCCAATCTGCAGGAATCTGTAGGAATTTGTAGGTGCCTGCAAGTCGAAGTTCTTGGGGTACGTGTTTGTTTCTGTGCGAGGGTAGGTGAGGTAACCATCGAGGTACAACCGCTCGGCCATGTGCATCGCCTGCTGCGGTCCAAGCCCAAGCCTGTCGCAAACAGCGTAACAAAAGCAAGGTACCACGTCAGCACGTGCTATCTCTGCCGATCTCTCTTGGGGCGGCGTTCAACCTTGCCCAATGCCACCCCTCCTGCTCCCCTCCTCCATCCTCCTTTGGGTTTGTGTTGATCCCTTGCTCCCCTCCTCCAACCCTCCCTCCCTTCCTCCCTTCCTCCCTTCCTCCCTTCCTCCCTTCCTCCCTTCCTCCCTTCCTCCCTTCCTCCCTTCCTCCCTTCCTCCCTTCCTCCCTTCCTCCCTTCCTCCCTTCCTCCCTTCCTCCCTTCCTCCCTTCCTCCCTTCCTCCCTTCCTCCCTTCCTCCCTTCCTCCCTTCCTCCCTTCCTCCCTTCCTCCCTTCCTCCCTTCCTCCCTTCCTCCCTTCCTCCCTTCCTCCCTTCCTCCCTTCCTCCCTTCCTCCCTTCCTCCCTTCCTCCCTTCCTCCCTTCCTCCCTTCCTCCCTTCCTCCCTTCCTCCTTCCTCCCTTCCTCCCTTCCTCCCTTCCTCCCTTCCTCCCTTCCTCCCTTCCTCCCTTCCTCCCTTCCTCCCTTCCTCCCTTCCTCCCTTCCTCCCTTCCTCCCTTCCTCCCTTCCTCCCTTCCTCCCTTCCTCCCTTCCTCCCTTCCTCCCTTCCTCCTTTCCTCCCTTCCTCCCTTCCTCCCTTCCTCCCTTCCTCCCTTCCTCCCTTCCTCCCTTCCTCCCTTCCTCCCTTCCTCCCTTCCTCCCTTCCTCCCTTCCTCCCTTCCTCCCTTCCTCCCTTCCGCCCTTCCTCCCTTCCTCCCTTCCTCCCTTCCTCCCTTCCTCCCTTCCTCCCTTCCTCCCTTCCTCCCTTCCTCCCTTCCTCCCTTCCTCCCTTCCTCCCTTCCTCCCTTCCTCCCTTCCTCCCTTCCTCCCTTCCTCCCTTCCTCCCTTCCTCCCACGCGTGCTCTTCCTGCCCTGCCTCATCCACTCCATCGGCTCAGGGTTGCCACTCACTTGCGACAATCCGAGACTGGGGTGGAAAAAAGGACGATCTGAAAAGAGAACTTGCCCTCCCACTCCCACACCGGCTGAGAAAAGTCACCCCCTCAAACAACATCTTCTACATTATCTCCTACTCAGTATAGCACTCTTTGGACCTCTCAATACGGAATCTTTTTCACTCTCACGTGTACTGGATATTTCTGGATGCAGTTTCAACGTGAAAGTTTGCACACGCCTTGTACTCGCCATCTTCAACATTGCAACAGTATTCAAGGCTTGTGGACGTGCCATTCTATCCTCTTTCTGCGAAATCTCAGTCACCAGCGCTTTGGCATTGTCTTGAAGGAGACTCATGAACAAACTGGCCACCGGCATGTCGAAAACTTGACCTCTGTCCCATTGTAAGTCCAGGTCTCTGCCTGCCTTGGAAATTGAAGCATCAATCGTGTAGTAGCTCTCCGGCTGGAAAGAATTTATTTCATCGCTGCGTCGGACACAGAACCACAGTGTAGGCGTCTGGCATGGGCCATACGAAACCAAGTTCGTGTCCAGATCCCCATATTTCCCTTGGAAGTACTTGGTTTGAAAGCGAGTGAAGGCACAACCAAGCTTCAAGTCCATCTCCTGAGCACGGCATAGCGGCATAGAGTGTCATGAAACGGACAACTTGGAAGCTGACGACGCACAAGACGTTGACAACGAGCGCAACTTGCGCGACATGGGAATCTCGAGACACTCAAAGAACTGAACGTATGTGATCTGTTGTATGTTCGGTGGCCGCTTCTCACCCTGACATGGCAGTCCAGTAAACAGAGGCTGATGTCGGTGCAGAGAAGGTGGATTTTCACCAAGATGGCAATCGATTTCGAAACGCAAAAAATCATACCATGTCATGTCAACCTGTCAACCGATTTGTCGGCTTATTGGCTCCCGGGCAGCGAATCCGGGACTCCCTTAATGGTCGAATATCTGAGGGAGCGCTTGTGGGTTTACCGGATTTTTGGCTTATCAGCTTAGTTTGTCGGCTCGTCGTCTCATGAAGTGGGAGTAGGGAGTGCCGATGCTCGCACTTTAGAATCAATAGGCCAAAGTCAGGAAACTCACAAAGTTTCCCTTCAAGCCAACTATATAAGCTGCACGATGAGAAAACCGAATGAGCAGATCGGAAATCATTTTACGACGTGCAAAGCCCACATCTTGATGTCCAGTGAGCTGACACACACACACACACAAAGCAACTGAACGGCTGATGCTTGCCGACTTATCGCAGGAGCACACACACACACACTCACCGACAGGCCTACAGCGTCGCATGCCTGACCATACGACAGGTTCATCCCGGCGGGGAGTATTGGTCGCAAGCTACCAGCCCGATACGGCAGCCATCATGCTGCTGGCAGGGAATCAGGCAGTCGAAGTGAAGCAAAAATATCGCACGTTCCAGCATCGAAACAACTGGAGAGGCCACACTCGGCAGAGTGGAGTTATGGCATATCGTTGCGATGGCGCCACCTGCCACAAATTGGTACCAGGAATCTTCGTGCACCCGAGTCTTCATGGGGCGAAAGTCGATGAGGAAATCGAGACAGAAATCGAGAGAGATTGAAAGAAACTTTCGAGGTTTTGGCCAAAATGAAACGACTTTATCCCACGGATGCATGAGTTCAAGAATCTGGGTAAGCTAACGCTGGCGCTGTTCTGCAAGCAGATCTTGCTTAGCTGCCGAGCTTCTGCACGGGCATCAACGGAGTCTGACATGTCCTTGCTGGGGGATCCCAAACTTGCCATGGCCCGTTTAAGATCCACTGGAGCCAGTGATGAGAACTGAGCTCGCCAAACTTGCTGTTGCCCGCCAGCAGAGGACAAGTATGGGACTGCGTTGTCCATGACCTGACTACAGTAGTGCACAGAAACTTTCGTCCAATGGGCACTTAGCCCCACCTCATAACAGATATTCTCCCCCTCGCGATCACAATCCAGCCACAGCACCAGATAGGTGCACCCCTTCGCCTGGCTCAACTGCTCACTGGGCCACAAAACGCCACATGTCTGATGCCTGCAACTACTGTCATACCCTAAAGTCAGGTTTTTCTGGACACGTTGACAAACTCTGGGCAGAACAGACTCAAGCTCCCTTAGTGCAAGAAGGCTGCTTAACCTGCACCGTGTAGCTGTGACCCATGTGCAACAGCATGTGGCGTATATCCCTGTTTGCGTTCATTGCTTTCTCGGAGTGCACGCCTCCATTCACGGTTCCCCTCATGACTCGCAAGATTGCAAAAGTTTATGACTGTGTTAGCTTTGTCTGTGTTGCCAGTAATCTGTGTTGCTGCTCCTGACAAAAATGGTGGACTTCGGTGGCACGGAAAATGACTGATAACACTCGTGGGCTTTATGCTTGAAGCTCTTGAGAAAAAGCCAGATGCTAACTACATGGCCTGGTTGGGGGCCTGAAACCTGTACGTCGCGTGACAGGAAGATGACAGCCTGCAGAAATCTAAATCATGACACGTCAGACCACTGGCGTATGAGCACATGGTGGATATGGCAGCAGGAATGTCCATGACAACTCGCGAAGATTTTGGCCTTGAAGATTTGAAAACGTGAATCTGAGTTCTCGAGACAAACCGTTGCTAAGCATGAGGTGAAGAATTTCCAGGAGACCATCGTCTGGCAATTCACGAACTCAGAAAACATGAACTCGTGTAGTCATTTGCAGCAAGTTGGCAAAGAAGGAGCTGTTTACGATTCTGTACATGTCAAAACTCGCCGTCATGGGTTTACCTGCAGGAAAATGACACTTTCGGGCCCTGATGACAAGGCTTAACGCGCCTCACACACGTTGCCCTTGAACCAAAGCCCCCGGCTCAAAAGCAAGTGACACGTGACACAATGCCGGAACCGGAAGCGGACGCCGACCTGAGTCCTTCCGAAGTGTAGCCTTAGGGTATGTTGACCTCGTGTTTCACCTTACCTTACTTCATCCTAGCCTACAGTGCAGCACCCTGCTTTACCCTATCCTACAATCTTGCTAAGCTGCTACTCCTTACTCCCCGACCCGACCTCGACTCTTCTAGCATTTCACACCGAACACATCCCGCACGAATGGGTGGTTGCGTGCACGCCATGATGTGGCACATTGAGCACAGGGCCTCCGTCTGGAAATGCTTCGGCATCCTCGATAAGGTACGATTAGTGCGTGTCGTCACTTGGCCAGGGGCCTGCTGTTACCGCTCATATCCGCTCATGACTCGACCTGAGACTCAACAATCCCCGTCCTGAGCTTGGGATTCGCTTCCATTTTAACCGTGGGTGCGCCAAAGAGAGTCAAGGGATCCACTCTGTCCCAGTTGTTGTACTCTGGCGGAAAGTCAATAGAATACACATGACCTGCAATATCAGGAAATCACAATCAGCAAACTCACACAGCAACAGAAAAGCAATGCACGTGCAACTTCAGGTCGTGGCCGGCACAACTCGTTACTTTGAACCAAGCTCGCTGTCCATAAAAATCTCCCTCGTATTCGAAGACTTTGCAGGCCGGTGACACCTCGAACGAGCGCAAAAGTCCCCATACCCCAGCCGTTCAAAGCAAACGAAAACTTCCGGCAAGAAGCCCCTGTGCGAGTCGAATACTTGTGACCAGGTGAAAGAGCGTCGGCCAGGGTCTGCGCGATTGAGGGCTTCTCGGCTACCATCAAAACCTGCAGGCTTCCAGAGAAAGAGAGCGAGAGAGAGCAGAGGGAGAGAAGACGGCACACAAGGGAGAGAGAGGGAGAGAGAGAGAGACAGTGTGTGTGTGTGTGACGCCGTTACTCGGGCACTAGTTCGCGCACACGGTTCAGGGTTTAGGGTCTCGGGCCTAGGGTACAGATTCCGGTCGTAGGGCCAGGTCTTAGGGACCAAGGCAACCGAAGCCTGCCCCCCTCGCCCTGGCGCGTCTCAGCACTTCCCCCTCCCGTTCAACCCGTAGGTATGAGGATGATGGATGCAAAGGTTTAAGGCTTCGTTGTTTGGGGTGGGGCGGGGGGGGGCCGGCCCGTGCCACTAGGCCTAAAATGTGTTGCAAGACATAAGAGCTGCCCCAACAACACAAACCAGTGCCAAGCAGCAGTGGCCACCATGTTGGCAGATCGACGTCGAAATCAGGTGCTTAACCCATTACCCTTGTCCAAACATGTTCCTTGACATCTTGAGCCCGACTTTCGACATGATTCCAGCATATGAAAGCTACTGCTCCCTTCCTGGCCCGTCATGACATGATCGGTCACATTCTTGGCCAGAATGTTTGAAAACCAGTTTGAAACTATTGCGAGATTGTCCGATCTCAACTGCAGGTCTGGTCTCTCTAGACAAACTCTTACAATTTCATTACCCGGCGAGGGGAAGATAAAAACAAAACATGTCAAAGAAACAAAGATAACAAAATGATTTGCTGCCGGCATGCCTTGGTGAGTCTGCGGATTTACTCCACGTGTTTTTGCCAAACTGATCTACACCGCCGCCCAGCATGGCACTATATGGCACTGCTATTTGCCCGTGAGCTGAAGCTGAAGCACTGCTACTTGCTTCTCCGAGCGAAACTCAGGCATTATCCATTCAGGTGGTGAACGGTGGATGGTCCAACCTCCGCGTCGCAGAACGCTCTCATGGAAGCGCTGCAGCTCGCCCGTACGGTCTTTAAGCGCCAGGAGGATTGTTGTGTCAGTAGTTGCGAGAGCTGAAAGCAAGGAAATCAAGGTCTGATCCGCGGGAGGCATCTGATCGTTTGAATCCACACATTTCCTACCAGCATTGCCAGGATACACGAGATCGCTCCCAACGATCGCAGACCAAGGTCCAGCTGCTTGAATCTTCTCTAGATCCGCGGCAGAGTTCCAATCGAACTGCTCAACAGTTACACGACCTGGGAAAGGCATTGCTGCCTGAACATTGGCAATGGCACCATCAAGGACTCGTGGATTACCATCTGTGGCGCAGACCTCTGCACCTTCGACGGCAAGCGATATTGCCACGAGCCCAGTCCCTGCTCCCAGTTCCAGAACACGCTTGCCCTTCCATGCAAAGTGCTGCGTCATACGCCCGACCAGGTCTGCCAGCACAATTGCCGCCTCCCACAGCACTCCCCCTGTTCCGATCCGCTCCTCTTCCCGGCGCTGGTGCTGTCGGATGACGATGTCTCGCCCACATGGCAGTCGGATGGTTCGAGTTGGCAACAGGACTGGCAAATGCTTCGTGAAAGCGTGCGAAAACAGGGCCACTTCAGTGTATGGGTTCGGAGGTGGTGGAGGATTAAAGTCTGAAAGTTCGCCCTGCCACTCACCTTGACAGAAAGGTTCACCCAAAGCCCTGCTCTCGATTTCGCTCGCTGTGCAGAGAATTCCACCTTGAGCATCTACCTGCACAACAACCTCAAGCTGCACGAAGGACCGGTACGATGGAACTGGCAAAGGTGCTAACTCGAGCATGCCCAAAAAGCGATTGCCTTCACAAAAAGGCCGCTCACCAGCGTACAGTTCCACCCGCGCAGCCGCTTGATCGTCATGTGTTGTGGTAAACAGTTTTCGGCCATTTGCGGGCAGCTCAGAACCTCGAGCTAACAACTGCTCACACACGCCATCTCGGGTCTTCACATGAACCGATAGAAGAAGCCCCAAGCTTTGTTCCAATGAGCTGACAGGCTCCGTGTCTGGAGGCAGTATGGCAAGAAGCGGCTCCTGAAGTCGACAACTTCACAACGTTGAAGCATACTTCGCTGCACTTGAAGCTGCCATGCAGACAAGACGTGTTCAGTGCAAGTCACAGAGTCACAGGACATTGCAGATCTCACTTGTCGCAAGTTGCCGTTTGTCCTCTGCACTGGAGTGAAGGGCCATGAAACAAAGCCAAAGGACAGTGCAACGCCAGTTGCACGGCACATGACCCATGCAGGGGTACTCTAAAGCTGCCTTGGCTCCTAAAAGGGACGTTCGGTATGCGGAGTCGAGGTGGCTAGCACTACAGACTGTTCCGTCCCAACATGTTCTAACCCATCTCAACCTGCGACGCTACCATGTTCAAAGACTCTCAGCCTGAAAAAGAAGCATCATGAGTTCTCACAATCGACAGGATGTCTATCTAGCGTGCAAGCGAAAAAAAACATAAAAAACCAAGTTGGCCAAAGCATATACTTGCTGCGATTGAATAGGCATGCCTGAAGCTTCACCAAACTCAAATCCGGAGGACATCCCTGCCGCAATAATTGCTAATAATTGCTTGTTAGAGCATGACAGTCAGTTGTTGAGCCAGGAGCGCGACATCAAACCTAAAGCTTCTTCTCTTGCATTGATAGCCTGCTTTGTCTTTTGAAAACTAAAAGGCTAGCAACATCTAGCAACCATAACTTAAAGCTATTAGTGATACAAGTGTGGTGATGATGACGCCGTCATGCAGTGCTGACATGGTTTTCAGGGTACCGGTAAGGGGAGGGGCGATGGAAGCGAGGCCACCTAACAAAGACACAAAATTGTGAGAGTCACGAAGAAGCCGCAATGCCTCTGAACAGAGAGCGCTTTGTGCAGATGCCCGCAGAGGTGCCCGGAGCCGATGCTCGAACACGAAACTGTCCGAAACTGTCTCTTGTCCGGCATCATGCACTTTGGCAAGATGGGCAAGATTCTCTTGACATCTGTTTCTTCCCTGACTTTATATATCTTGATATTATTTGCAAACGTCAAGAGGCAATAGAGGCTGGTCTGCCTTGGCAGTCGCCGTTCTCCCCAAGGAACAGTGCTACATTCATGGTGGCGAAATGCTCTCCTTCTCCCAAAGAATGGAAAGGGATGGAATCTGATGAGCGCTTGGCTTTGGAATCTTAGGAAATGCACAATGCCCTGGGCTCTGAGGGCAACTTAAGGGCCTTGCCGCCTGGATATCTCAGAAAGGTCGCTTGTGCAGCGCCTGTTATTCGCACATCATGCCACATCAACTGCACGGCCGTCATGAGTCACTTGCCGTCTATCCGCCATGCGCCAAGGCCTCGGGCCGTAGGTGTCTGGGCAGCATAAAGCAGGTACCCACCTTTCCCTCATGGGCCCTGCTCGTTGTCCCCGCCCCTTTCCCCCCCCCCCCGCTGCGCACCCGCCCCCCACAAAAACTCCTTCAACCTCTACCCGCTGCTAGTGCTTGTAACTCCATCCCCGGCCCCCGGCCTCCGAACCTCTAACCCTAACCTCTGCTGGCGCTCTTTTGGGGGCCGCTGCACTCCCTTCTGGGTCCCCGCCGGCTGTCCTTGCTTCCCTACTCTGCCGAACTTCTTTCGCCACGGCCGAGACGGGTCGCGTAGCGTTGACATTACTACGCCCGACATGCCAACTCGCAAACATTCATATTCACATAAGAACAATTTCAAGCTGTGGTACTGAAGCTAGAAGCATGTGGTCTGCATGAATGATCTGGACAAAAGTGGCGGAGCCTGTAGCGGAGTCGGAGGAAGCGCTCCGCCAGCGAAAGAGGATGCCTCCGAGAAATGCACTTGTGTACATGTGGTACTGCATCCCGAGCAGCAGTCCAGATGCCTTCGGGGTCAATTGCCAGCGGCCTCAAGGTGTGATGCAATAGTGATGCAATACTGCTCCAAACCCTCAGAAAGGCCCGCAGCCCGGAACTACTCGTCTGCCGAGGCCATCGGTCCAAGTGACCTGTCTTGTGCTCGCTGAACTGTGAGCTATTGTGAGGCTATCGTGAGCTGTACCTCCCTGCGCATCTAGCTCCATCCAGCTCGGCCCCAGGCCGACTCGGGAGATAATCGCTTTCCTCCATCACACATCAGAGCACAAACCGGCACAAGCAAAATAGAAGAGATGGATTGTCAAAAGGACATTCGTGCACATAGGCATCAACGATCATCAATGTCAATGGCTGTCTCCGTTTCCAATGGAGTGCGATTGACGGCAACAATCTGAAGAATATAGCTGCATTCGTGCACACAAAATAAAGGTTGGAAGCATGTGGGATTCGAACCTTGTGGGATTTTCTGCCAACGCAGTGACAGTGGAGGGATTCTTGGACTTATTTCTCACAGATCAAGCAATCCCTCCCGGGACGAGCTCGTGCTAGACGAACCATGTCGAAACGCTCCTGAACCCTTAGAAGCATCAGGGGGAACAAGCCCGTAAGCCATGGCATCCGATGTGACATCCGTGGCAGGATACCCAAGAACACCTGCTTGTTCTAAAGCCGATGTCGGCAATATGGGCTAAAGCAACAGCAGCCTGGCAACCGTGCTCTCTTGTGTATCGTGTGTCCTATGGCAAACACGCACTTCACTTGCGCACTCCTGGCCACAGGCTGCACGAAGACGTAGCAGCAGTTGACCTCCCGAGCGAGAGACTCAGCGCATCTCATATTCGACATTCGACACATACGTCCAGCCTGGATGACTTTGGAATTGTGCCTTGGCTGCATCAGCAAAAGGAGCGAAGCTCCTGCTCTGTGCAGAGATTGAATCTGAAAGACGTAGCTTGAAAGAAGATGAAGTATTGCAAAAAGATCTTGAAAAATCACAACATGCATGAAACACTCAGGGCACGATTGCCGTCACGCCCATGATCAGGAGAGGCCGGACCAAACTGCCACAACGACATTCCCAACCAATGCTGTCTTTCAACAAGATGCATTACAAAATGTCGCGCATGCGCGAGGTTCAGACTGTCTGCCGGAGTCTGCCGCCTTCATCTCGTTCTGGTCTATGTAGCAGTTTTTGTCAGAGTGGCACTCCTCGCCAAGTGGACGGAAGTCCAGCTCACTTGTCCACGTAGACTTCTTGCGAATTCATCCGAGATTCTTGGCGACAGTGACGCTGTACGAGGGAACAGCTCTGGCCTCGGCAACAAGGTCACAACTTCAGTAAAGCTGTCGCCAGTTGCAGCCTTCGTGAGCAGCACTCTCGGAATCTAGCCCATTGTCCCAGGAAACTCAAAGAATGCGACATGTAAGCATAGTTAGCATTGGTACCATCGCGTCGAGAAAAAGCAAATGAAGGCTTGAGGTCCATTCTCGGAACTTGATTATGAAACCATGCTCTTGCACACTACAAGTCTCATGCGAAAACGCTGCGGGCAGCATGAACAGGAATCTCGGAGCGATTCCAAAAATCCCGATGAGAACAACAGTTTTGCACAGTGGAGCCTGCAGAAGAGTCAGGCATGCCGGTGTACTATGGCAAAACAACAAAGTGCCCAATGCGCAAGATAGATGCAAAGCTGTACGACATGTACGACATTTGCCTCTCGACGAAGAGGTGCCATCAATGCTGAATTGACAGTCTCCTGAATTTTTGCGCAACTGCATTTTCACTGGCTGGAGCTGATCGACTGAGTTGGAGTGGGCGCTCGCCGCGCAACGCTACGTCGACATGCTGCCATCATTGTGACTGCAGCTCCAAGAGATATGTTGTCTGAAAGTAAAGGGGCCAAGCGCACAGTCAGCACCATGCCATGGCCACCATTACAGGTGCATACAAATGCTAAAACGTTTCGTCCCTGCAGGGGGCTGAAACGTGCATGATCTACACATGAAGCTTACCTGCCCAGACTCTGCTCGCTTTGCACGCCTGCTGAAACGTAGCAAGGCCGCAAATGCAAACTGAGAGCTTCTCATTCTTTGCATGCCACAAAGGCTGTTGCGATCTTCAAAAATCACTGGGCACTGCCAAAAATGAGTAGAGGGAGTCAAGGCCGCTCAAGATGGTGCACGTCTGGCGCACCCATAGGTCTTGTTAAAAAAACAGTATACGTCCATATACGATGCATCTGAGAGGCCAATCCAACCCACTCTACTGGAAAAACTCGTTAATCTTCGCTCTCCTGCATCTGTGGGCTTGGAGCCTCGAGAGCCCAGAATCCTGACACAGCTTCCCGGCTGCAGACTCAAGGAATCAAGGAGAGCATGACCTGCACTGCCGACATCTGCCGATTCTGCAGCTCAGAGTACCGCGTCAGCAGATTTAAACAGCCGGTTCAAAGCTGGGGCTGGAGAAATCCGCGGGTGTTGCCAACGAGGAATTTTGCATATCTAGACAACTAACTTCACATCCTCTCGATATTTCCTGGACTCGGTCTTTCTCATCCACGGTCAAACGAGAACTGGCTGCAGTTTGACACAGCATTGCTGTACACTGCAAGGCACACGTTAAGCAGATGTAGGAACGAGCTCTCTAGTGAGACTCAGTTTCCGACTCACTTTCGATGGCCTGTGTGCACAGCGATGTAATTACTGCGGTGATGGACTGTGGTGCGTATGTGACAGAGCGAGAGAGAGGCACGGATCCAAGCACAATACAGACAACAAACAAGTGACCGCACCGACAATCAGCTGAAACACCTGCTGAAGTGGTCTATATGCTTTGGAAAATAAACTTTGCGCAAAGCCGGCGGGTCCTCACAGAGTTGGGCAAGATCACCATCACTCCACGATCGGTGCATCGACACTTGAGGAATGTCTTCGTCGATTTGGACTGCCTCCCAGGGTACGGACTTAAAACTGCGAACACCATTCACCACCGCCATTGGACATGACATTCTTCTGGGGCCTCAAACAGAGTACAGCAATGCCTTACTGATTAGCAGCTATAGCATTTTCACTTGGTCGAGCAATGACAGGCTGAGAATGCTCAGGCAGACCAAGAGGCACTTATTGAACCCTGATGCTCAGATTGGCTTGGACTCCGTGATGACTCAGCGGCATGGAACATGCTTTCCAGCTTGGGTACAAGTGTGTGCAGAAACCAACAAATGCAAGTTGATGCACAAACCTGAACACTGGCAGACAATGGTCAGAAAAGGTCAGAAATCAGAATGGTACAATCGGGCGGCACCCGGCTGCCACCATGTCTGAGCCACCATGTCTGAGCGACCGTCAAAACTATAGAGGTCGGGCCTAGGTCGTGCAATAGGCTCGTGGCTTTCCAGTGTTCCCCGTCGCTTTACGAGGTTTTTGCATGGTTTTGCTGTAACCCGTCGCTTTTCAGGGGTTTGTCTTACGGGCTACTCAATTAAGGGGCGTCGCTTTTCAGTGTTCCCCGTCGCTTTACACGGATTTTTGACACTTCAGCACGCAAATGTCCTACCAAGATAAAACTGCAGTTACCATGGTTTTGACCCTTGCTCACCCCGAACAAAAACATCCAACAAAATATCACGCTCGAACCATGTCAGGCAGAAGCGCCAGCCAAGTCTGCCATTTGTAAGGTAGACTGGGTAGACAAGTTCACAAATTTGGGGTGTAACACCTCCTGCATCGCAATGACAATCGCAGCTACTAGTCGTGCTGCGATGCACCAACACATAGTTAAAGCAAAAATGATGCATGTGCTTCACGACGCCGATCCTCCATGAAGGTGCCCTTGATCCGCAGCATGATGTTGTCATCGTCCTACACACTTTAGACATCTGCGAGAATCATGACAAGGCTGAACGCATCCTTGCTGAAGGCGGCGGTCGGTGGAGCCTTCAGCTCTGGTGCCCGCAGTCACTGTTGAGTTTTCTAATGTTTCCAAGTTCGGTTATATTCGGTTATATTCGGTTACATCGGTCAAGCATGGTTAAGCTCTGGACTGTCTGCTGACGCTGAAGGCCACCACGACCTCAATGCTGTACAAACTTTGCCGGTCTCTGTGGCAACAGCAGCCTGAAGCCTTCGCTGGATTCCAAATTTCATATCAAAATCGGCCAGATTACTCTGTGTTTTTTTGAAGCTTTGGGTCTCCAGAGCGGGGGCTCCACAGCAGCTTCACGATATTTCACGATGCTCAACAGCTTAGCGCAGCGTTGCAGATCGTTGCACAGTGTTGCGGCTTGGGCTGTAGGAAACATTAGGAAACACCCTCAGAAGGCCCTGTGCCTCGGCCTCGTCCAATGAAATTGGATGCCTGCCGCGTAGAACCACCGTTGGTGCGTCCCTTGTCCCGGACAAAGCCTGCCTCGAAGTCTGTATCACTTTCGCTGACAGATCGGTCCTGGCAATGTGATTGCGTCCAAGTAACGATCGAACTACAAGATGCCACCAAGAGCACACTCTTCCTACTCATACCTTTCCTACTCTTCTCCTACTGTCCTGTCACCACTGCGGCTGACTGATAAGGCTCTGATAAGGTGTCACAAGGTCGTTTCGGGGTGGCGTGGCATGCTTCTGCTCTCAAGGTTGGTCCCACGTTGTGTCCCCTATCTGCGGCCTATCACTTTTCTCACTACAGTGATCAAGTACCGTGCGGATCTGTGCCGTGCCTGGGATACGATCGAAGACATGAAACACATAACCTGTTCCCGGCGAGCCTGTACCGTTGCTTCAGATGGTTCGTCTTCGCTTCCCATCCGCATCTTAGCATGCGCTCGTAAACAGCTTGAAGACATGGGGACATGTAGCTTCTAAGAGGATAGCAAATCCAGGCGCATCTGGTGCATCCTCCAGGGGGCAGCGCAGGCTTGTTTTTGGCTACCAAATGCGACAGTTTGAAAGCAGTTGCGAGCCTCCCCGGTACAGGAACTGGCATCGAATCCCAATGAGTCGGCAAAGCCGTACTGCTCAAAGCGGAAATCCTGAATTTCGGAACATGAGGAACTGAGCTGTCATAGCACAAATCCTGGACGACGACATAGAAGCCACTCATAGCCACTCGCAATCACTCGCAACATACCAAAAGGAAGCGTGTTTCCGTTCGTGGCATCTCTGCCCAGTATGTGCAGGTCGCCGGAAGCTCCAAACGGGGCGGAGTGCGGGAGACGACACGATCAAAAAAGGTTAAAGGAAAGGTGCGTTCTTGCCTCCTGTTTCCCAAGTTGTTTGACAGGTCGTGCACACAGACACACATGGCATGTCATTCTCATAGATGCCGCTTCGCACGTGCACTCGAATCAAACACCGTGCATACCTGGGTTTGGGGGGTGGCAAAATCATGTTGTCCAGCTTTGTGAGATGGGCTGGTGGGGAGAGCCAGGTGGGCTCTGCAACCTCGCGATCTCGCAATACGGAACGGGGAAGGTGGGGCAGGGTTCAGATTCTTAAGGGAACCAGGACTCAATCTGTCAGTGTTGCTGCGAGGGGCACCACCCTGGACTTTTCCCACAGCATGTGCAGACAGAAATCACGTCCCAGTCTGACTTGGCGGAGGCTGTGGTGAAACGACAGGGCCAGCCAAACACAGCAAAGGCTGAGATGGTAAGCAGCTGCTTCGGAATTTGGGGCTTAGGTTGTAGATGTGATTTGTTTGGGGCATTTAAGGGCGAATAGTTTCGAATCACGGAACCATGCAGCCGCCAGCGTTTGATTAGGCTGAACACTGCTTCTGCGGAGGCAGGGGACGCACAACGACCCGCGGGTTTGGACCCCAACAAACATGAGCTTTCTCCTGACACATGAATCTCACTTGAAGGCTTAGTTTAGGGTTTAGGGTTTAGCATGGTTGAGCGATGCGGAAGGGAGAAGGTGGGAGGGTGCGAGATCGCGAGCTCGCGATATGGAAGGGGGAAGGCGGGAGCTCCAAAAATTCTTGACCTAACCTGACAACACCTCAGGAACCGCAGCATTGCTAAACTTTCCCGTGGAATCCTCAACCCAGTTGCAGCACATTGTCTGGAGCTTCTGGCTGGCCACTTCTCAGAAGAGTTCTTGAAGCAGAGCTGAACGTTGACTACAGAGACAGACTGACACACTCACCGGACCATGCTCCAACCTGTAAGACACCGAGCCAAGGCCAAGCCAATTATCTTTGAACTGCGACAAACATTTCATATAGATTACTGATACAGAACAAGTGGGGAACTGCAAACCGTTAGGGGGTTGAGAAGATGTTGAGAAGATGTGACATATCTTACTGAATGTTCCCTGAAGAGTTTTTTGCTAATAACTCTGCAGAGGTCTCAACCCCATCTAGAACAAATCGAAGCCGAAACGAACCCCATGCTAACATAGCACTGCCTGGGTCTAGTTCCATGCATGACAAAAGCCTGCCTCATCGAGAGGATTCCAATTGAAAGCCTTCCAAAATATACAGGAAGCTTGCGCGATTTCACAGGATGAATAAGATTGTGCAAGCAGCAATTGCAATGCCAACCGGCCTCTTCCAGCGGCCAGGTGCCATATGGCATGTGAGTCCACACGGATCGCAGTTCTGCAGAACCGTGAGCGAACTTGCAGTGGATGTCCGTACATCTCCTTCATGCCATGATCGTCTCTAACTCTCGAAGAAACTCAGAATAGCGTGGTCCGTCCGAGTCCTCTGGAAGTATTTGTGGCACAGCTTGGTTTTTACCAGGTCTGGCATTGGCTGCAGCTCTGCTTTAGAGTGCGCAAAGGGACATCCCGGACCTGTTAGCACGGTGACACCCGAAGAACACCATTGTGATTGTAGCATTGCGTCAAAAACAAGAAGACCCGGGGCCACACCAAGTTCACATGTCTTCTTCTTGATGTAGGCGCACATCTTCGTTTTGCGGAACTGATGCTTGAATGGCTGTGGCGACAGCATGTGGTTCACCGCATTCACAGCCCAATCTTTTGGTCTTGCCTCAGTTCAACACAACACCCTGTTCTTCCACTCGCAACCACTTACGGTTCATGATCACTGATGGCAAAAGAGAGTCCTGCAGCACAAAAACCAACTCAGGTAAGCAAAAGTTATACCAAGCATCGTCGGGGAGGATCACGGGCTGCGTGGCATCGCTCTGAACGTCAAGACGTGACCAGTGCTTAGTCAGAGCCTTGCGACGAGTTCATGCCACTCTACCTGGAACAAGCCTGACTCGAATGAGACGACTCTGCTGGTAGCAGCCAGGAAGAAGGAACAGAAGGCGAGCCTCCAGTCCCTGCACATCAGCCATAGTGATGTTGCCTTGAACGTTGTACTCCTGACAAACATTGTGCAAGCAGAACCGGAAGGGTACAACAAGCATCACCGTCCTGGCAGATGCAGCAGAAGAGCATCACCTACACAGTTTCACGAGGACTCAAACTGAAAATCTGAAGCTGGCAGCTCTTTCAGCTAATCGATCAAGTAAGCCATTGGCAAAAACAGGATCGATGAAGTTTATGATGGCAGTGCACGTATCACCGCCATTCACCACATGCAGGAAGTCGTATGTCCCTGACGAGTTGAAATGATGCCAAGAAAAGCTGTAGTTGCTGTAGTTCCAAGAAGTGCGTTCTTAGCCTGCGAGCCCCCATGCATCCAGCTGCTTCATGAAGCTGGACGCGCTCGTCTCGGACGACAGACATGAGACCTCCACCTCAGATCACCAAAGCCGAGTGCCATTGCAAGCTGGCATCACATCGCAATTCGCATCAAGCAAGCAGCAGCAACAATTCGCAGCTCCAGTGAAGTGATGAAACCACCGTGCAAGCAAAGAGGCAGCGTGCCTGTGGTGGGGCTTTGCTCCGTCTTTCTTTTTTCGTGGGGTGAGGGGACGAACCCCGAGCGTCATCGCCCGCCCCTGTTTTCCGGGCCACTCGATGAACGAACAGGTGTCAGCGACAACAGGTTTGACCCAACCATCACCTTTCAACCACCTTCCAACCTACAACCGCTCTGCGACGCCCGCTTCGTCCATCGGAAAATGGTTGTGTCTCTAGAACCTGGTTCCTGGCATGAAACGAGGCCTTCGCCGCCTAAATCTTCAATGTCTGCCTTGACTTTGGCAGTCCTCCGAACCCAAGATATCTGCACAGGACGCCAGCTCCAGTTTCCACCGTCTAGAAAACACCATTGCAACAGTTACAATACGACAGACAGACTGGAATGTCATTCCAAGCTCGGCACGCACCGCTTTGTCTTGTGAAATTGCTGGTGGATCTGCGAAGAGAACTTGGTATCTAGCCTTGGTGAGACTATACCCAAATTCTATCTACTCGAACCAGCCATCGCACGAGGCCACGACAAGCAATTTGGATCACAAGACCATTGGAAAGGAGATACGTAAGAGCCATTGATCATGTCCTTCCAATCTGGGTGGAAGTGCGATGGGAATTTGATGGAATGCCACTCTTGCCTTTGATGCTGCAGCTTCTTTCACATGCAAGCATTGTGCCCGAACGTGCCTCGGTGACACCTGCCTGAGCCCAGTATCCAGGAGCATTCTCCGATCCCTGGATGGGGAAGAAGGTGATGATACCCTGTGCCCGAAGCGGGCTAGGTGTCGCAAGTATTCATCAACAGCGAAGCACATGAGATAGGATCTTTGTTTGTGGCATCCCCACAAGGACCCCAAGTATATTCACTCACCAATATAGACAAGGAACCCTGTGCACACTCCACAACAAAATCAACAAGACCCTCCCTCAGATACCAATATACATACGTACGTATTTGCATACATACATTTCTGCATATGGGTGTGCTGTTTTTTGTGCTGGGGTGTTTTCCTTTTTCTCGCGGTGGTTTTGATTTTAACTCTGCCGCTTCTTTTCGTGGGCCTCTCTCCCGGTCTCAGTCTACTCCTTGCCCGTCACCCAGAGTGAAAATCTTAACCCTCAAACCCTGCAACCCGTAAACCCTAAACCCGCCATGAACCACCCTGAACCCACAGGGGGAGGGGGGGGGAGGGGAACCCGAAACCCACAACCCACCAACCTCAGAAACCCCAAACCCCCCAAAGCCTAACCTGACCTCAAACCCCACAGACCATGAACCACAGAGGGGAAAAGAAACCCTTCAACCCAAAAACCACCATGAACCACAGGGGGATACCACGGGGGGAGAGGGGGGAGGGGGGGCTTGCAACGGGGCTGTCTAGTGCCGGCAGTTCCGAAGCCTGTTGAATAACCTGGTCCTTTTACTCAGCCATCAGTTCCTAAAACACTCCTGCCACATATGTCATACCACTGACGCCATCTTTTGTAGATGCGCCATTCACGCGGAAAATCCAGGAAGGCCTCAATGGCGTTCTGTTGGGCGATGGGAAGACGGTGGGAACGGGTGGGGTACTGGGCAATGGTGCGGAATGGTAGAGAATGGCTGGTAGCGGCGGGAAAGGGGGGTGGTGGCAATGGTAGGGCGCGGCGGGTGGGTCAACCGTGCAGGATGGTAAGCAATGGCAGCGGGTATTGATGGGAATGGTGGGAGCTGGTGGCAATGTTGAGGATGAGGAGCGGCGCATTGTGAGGTGGGTTGCGAGGAAGGGGGTGGGGGAGGGGGCGAGGGCAATGGTGAGTAAGGGGTGTTGGTGGGTAAGGGGTGATGATGGGAGGAACGTGGCGATTGTGTTGCATGGTGGGTAGCAGGAAAGGGTGGGCAGTGGGCAAGGGTGAGACTGGCCGGGAAGAATTGCAAGTGGGTTAGGTAGGAGTGGTGGGAATGGTGGGGATGGCGGACACGGGTAGGACTAGCAGGGATGAACGGTGGAGCATAAGGCTTCATAGGGTTTCGGTTAGTGGTGGGTAAATGGCGGGTACTGGTGGCGATGGGTGTGACCCCGAACGGCGGAATCGGTAACCAGAACGGCTGCCTGATTCTCACACCAGAACATGAAAATCGGAAACCAGGCCTGAATCGGAGACCGGAACAGCTCAATCAGAAACCAGGACGGCTGAATCAGAAACCGAAACGGAACATTGACAATCCATGAAGTGGATGATTCGGAAACTTGCAAACGGCTGATTCGGAAACCAGGAAACGGCTGATTCCGGAGAAACTGCTGATTCAGAAACTGCAAAACAGCTAATTCAGAAACTGGGAAACGGATGATTCAGATACTGGGAAACGGAGAAAAGGGAAACCAGTAAACGGATGATTCGGAAACCGGGAAAGCCATCACTTTGAAACTGAAAAATGCAAGAGCTCGACTTTACAAAATTTTCTCGTGACCAGAGAGCGTGCCTCAGTATAGCTGATAAGCAACCCTGAACACTAAACCCTGAAAAACTTCTTCTTTCTCTCTTAATCCGAGCACCTGTCTAATTAATACCTCCGCATTTAAAGAATGTCTTTTCATCGAGAAGCCCGCCGGAAGACTACTTTCCATTACGGGGTTTCTTATGGGACTCAAAGAATTTTTCGAAGGTCTTGCAACATCTGGCTTCTTGTTTTGCTTGCTGAGCTGCGAAGCTACAGCACCTAAGGGATTTGCAGCCTATTGTTTTTAATAGAGAATCATTACATGCCATGGTTTCATTATTGCGGCGCCCTGCCTTTCCTGTTGCGGTGGGTGGGGGGGGGGGCCCCACCAATTAAACAGGTGCTCGGATTAAACCAATATCCAGGACTGAACGGATTTGGTGTAGGGCATCCTGAGGTATTGGCGGCACTTCTAAACCCTATTAACCCAAAACCCTGAAGCCTAAACGACCAAGCCTTATAAACTCCCCCCCCACCCCGCCCCCATCACTTCCGAGGCGTGGAGCATTCTTTCGGTGAGTCGCGGGGGTTTCTTCTGTGCAGTTTCTGATTCGCGCTGGCTTCTTCAGCCGCGGCTAGTTTCTGATTGGCAGTTGCTGATTCGCGGATATTCGCGGTTTCTGACTCGTCGGCCAGTTTCTGATTTCTTGGTTGATCGGCGGGGCTGCTCTGACTTTTTTTGAGAGGCGAGAGGCCGGTGGTGGGAGGTGCGGGCAGGCAGTGGGAGGAGGGGGATGGGTGGGGGTGGTGGGGTACAGTAGGTGGGTGGCACTGCAGGGATTGTGCGAGATGCTTTGAGGTTGGGCGCTGCTGTGCTGGGCACTCCGAGGGTTCT